TGTGGGCTCAATCCCCAGTAGGAGGTGTGCAGGAGGCATCACTGATTCTCATCACTGATGTTTCTATCTCTCTTCCTCTCCCTTCTTTGAAATTAATTAATTAAAAACAGGGCCTCCATCGCCAGGAGAGGGCGTGCTAATCAATGATTGTCATTGATGTTTCTCTCCCTCTCTGAAATCAATAAAAAATATATATTTAAAAATTTTTTAAAACAGGTGTTAAGTAGCTCAAACCCTCTGGGAAACAGTATCACAGAATTGGCCTCCCCTGCCAGTGCCTGTGCCACCGACGGCGGGATGCGGGCACCACTGCCCAGCATCCCCAGGTGCTGAGGTCCCCATTCTCCGGGTCCGAATCCACATCTCCACGGGGCGGTGTTCGGTTGACAGCTCCCAGGGCGGTTAGGAAGGAAGGTGTGTGCTCAGCTTTTACAGAGGGAACTGGCTCCGCCTCCCCGGGTGGCCTTTGTGAGGTGGTTCCCCAAACACGAAGGGGCGGTCCGTGTCCTAATGTCCAGAAAACGGTCCACGGCCATGGCCTCTGGGCCGAAAGGTACGGAAATGTGAGCAAGTGGCACGGGTCCGGCTCAGGAAAGAGAACCGAAGTGGAAGGCTGGCCCAGAGCCTGGAGACAGACACAACCAACAGGAACCCACGTCTCAGTCCCTGCAGGTGCCGCCCAAGGATGTGGTGGTGGGAGCTGGGGCACCGTGTGCCGGGCCGGTGGCCGCCGCTGTGGACAGGCCCTCGCTGCGGGCCCAGCATTGCGTGAGGGGCCCCATGTTCACCTCCTTTTACCCTCACGACCACCTGTGCCGCGGCTATTATTTAACGGGTGAGAGAGTGCCCTCCGTAGTCCTGGGTCTGTCTCATTTCAACGGTATCCCAGCCTCTGGCCTCTCCTGCGTCTGTCTTACCCGTCACCACCTTCAGAACCACCTCCCAGACCAGCCAACACACCATTGTTTTTTTGTTTTTTTACCTTAACTCCTTATTGCCCAACCACCACAAGCTCCCAGATTCCCCAGAACTGTTCCACCCCGGTGGAGGCGGTGGCCAACCTGCACCAGCGGCTTCCCACACCCGCCTCCCCCTGGGCCTTCCCACACTTACCTTCTCTGGGCTTCTATTTTGACCATGTGGCTCTTGAGGGCCTGGCCACTTCTCCCAAGATTTGGTGGAGAAGCTCGAGGGCTCTGAGCGCCTCTTAAAGACGCACCAGTGCAGCGGCCTCACCCTCTTCCAGGAGGCGCTGAGGCCTCCCCGGATGAGTGAGTGGGCAAAGCGCGGGCACCAGGGAAGCCGCCAAGGCCCTGGAGAGGAACCTGAACAGGCCCCTGTGGGAGCTGCCTGCCCTGGGTTCTACCTCACAGACCCTCAGCTCCGCAACTTCCTGGAGAACCACTTCCGGGGTGAGGAGGTGAAACTCATCAAGGAGATGGGCGGCACCTGCCTCACCCCGCAGGCCCCTCAGGCCCAACGGGGAGCCTGTGAGCCCAGAGGCCTGTGAGGAATCCCTCTGCCTGACTTCTCCCCCAAACTATTAGCCACTCCTTTAGCCACCCGGACGCCCTCTCCCATGCCTTGGACCAAATGGAAACAAAGCATTTTGAGAAAAAAAGGGGGGTGGGGGGGAAGAGGGAGAGAACAGTGGTAGAGGGCCTATAAGATTGCCAAGACCCCACTGTCCCATGTGTATCAGGAGGGGGGGTTCCACAGGGCGGAAGCTATTAGAGGCTGGTCTCCCTCAGAGCCCCCTTCCCAGACCTCCTTCCCACTCAGCTTCCCACAGGGTCCCAGGCAGAGGAGCCGTCAGTCATGTGAGCTGTGGGCCCGGTACTCTCGTCTGCTTCCTAAGACCGTCCTGGGCCCGGGACCACAGCGGAGAACCGTGTCAGACCTTCCTGGCTGAGAACCAGACTGTGAGGAGTGGAACTCGCCCCGGGCAAAGGTGCGTGACCTGGAAACTCAGTCACTGTTAATATCGGCACTTTTCGCCCCAGCCCCGCGGCCGGCAAACTGCAGCTCGGGAGCCACATGCGGCTCTTTGGCCCCTTGCGTGTGGCTCTTCCACAAAATGCTATGGCCTGGGCAAGTCTATTTTGAAGACGTGCATTAGAAGTTTACAAAATTTGGCTCTCACTGAAACCGGTTTGGCTCAGTGGATAGAGCGTCAGCCTGCGGACTGAAAGGTCCCGGGTTCAATTCCGATCGAGGGCATGTACCTTGGTTGCGGGCACATCCCCAGCAGGAAGTGTGCAGGAGGCAGCTGATCAATGATTCTCTCATTGATGTTTCTAACTCTCCCTCTCCCTTTCTTTCTGTAAAAAATCAATATATTTAAAAAAAAGAAAAAGAAAAAAAATACACAGATATTTCACCAGCTTGTGACATACCAGGAAATACATGGGATATTCAGGGTTCCACACTACTATATAATGCTGCATTTCTTGATTTTATTTGAAACAATGCATATTTTTTAGCATTTTATGGTAGGATTTTACACGTGTCATTTACACAAATTACAAGGTTCTGCTTCAAGTCTTTAAAAAAATTTTAAAAATTCGGCCCATGTGCAGCACAATAATATGCAAAACTACTTTACATTATACACACTTTTTATCAAAGGAGATACAAAATTCTGGCTTGTAGTTTTAGACAAATACAAGAAGCTTCAAACTAGACACAAAGGGTTAATTAACATTAATTCTCAAATATAAGTCTGCACTTTGTGTTGTATTTCTCTGAGATGTAAATACCAAATTCCTAAGGGATTTTCCTTTTTCAAAGGAAATCTGACAAATGTCCCTTGCACAAGTCCCTCCCCATCAGCTCCCCGTCTACCTACCATTCCATGTCCCTTCCCTTAGCGTCAGACACTTGCATGATATTACAAACCAGGGTGTTCTGTACTTCCGTCTGGGGACCAGAGCCTTCAGTTAACTCCTCTCCGGCAAAAACCTAGGCAGGCAGAGCTGACGCAAATACTTCATTATTCAATAGGACAACACTAGGTTATCTTGTCAGCTGCGATGCTGACTGACTACACACGAGGAGTGGAGATAGAGGAGCCCCTACCCAATGTGCTTTTCAATGGTGACAAACTCATGGCATTAAGAATCAAGTTGTCTGATGCTAAGAGAACTTTAAAACCTTTCTTAACAGAACATGCCCACTGACTGCTTGAGGGACTTCTCTGATGCTTATGCATAGATATTTTTCAGCATGTTGGAGGCAATATTTTATACGTTATTCCTAAAGGGTTATAAAAAAAGAGGCAATAAGGAATAGGAGGGCTTTTTCTGCCCTCTTAAGATATTTTTCTATCACTGGCATCCATTGTTCCCTAATCATCTGATACCTAAATGTGTGTATATGCATATTTAAAAGAATTACCCATCGTTTGCTCAGTCAATACACAGCCAACTCTTGATTATCTATTAGAACCCAACGACATTTACTACAAGTAAATTTCACATTTAACATAGCCATCCTTTTGGTACACAGCTCACGTTCACTGTCTCACACCCCTGTAGGCCACAGCCCATCAGAGCAGGCAGCAGGGCTTTGGGAACCGGCCTCATGGGGAGAAGGGACAGGCTCCGCCTCCGAGTGTGAGGAAGGACAAGTTTGTAGTCTCTTCTGATTTTACTGCTTATAATATGCCTTCATTATTTTAAGTTTATGATTACTACAAGATTCAAAAACCTGAGGCATAGTCACTATTTTATATAGATAATGGAGAGTTGACTGTTATCATGTGTGTTTTTTTTAATGACTTTAGCCCTTTCACATAAAAAATTTCACAATGTATGATAAAAAGATTAAAAAAGACTACCATGACATCTAGAAGCATTTATTTTATGCAAAAACTTAAATATGATACGTGTACACAGAGTGCACACATCACCTATGCTGGACAATACCAAGAAACAACAGCTGTCTTCTAAAATAAACATTAAAATGGAGCCCAGACTGCCGGACAAAAGCAACACACTTCTTTCCCAATAGCACAAGGCTGGAATCAACAGCAATCCTACACCTCCAGCTTCCTCAGAGCTGCCCAAACCCAGCTGTTTAAAAAACTGACTTTTTGTACATCAATAAAAATATGGTGACAAACATTATAAAACCAAATGGTGGGCAGTCTTTACTCCTTTAAAATTTCAAATATTCCAACATAATCACAGGAGTAAAAACCACTTTAAAATGATATGCTTTATGAAACAACAATATGTACATTTATTGCAAATTATATTAAACTAAAATGGAGGGGGGAAATCAAAATACGAAGTGATATGAAATCATTAATAATCTTAATTATTTTCTCACTCTGATAAAAATCAGAAATCAACATTTATAAAATTGCCACCACATCACTTTTCATAGCAGGGAACTGAAATCTGTACAACTCATTTTTGCAGAAAAGTAGGCAGGCAGAAAGAATTATACATAAAAGTTTCCAAAAGGAAAGACAAATATTTCATCTGATCTCTTTTCTTCTAAAAAAAATTAATTCAGTAGGCTTCTACTTTTTTCTTGTGTAACACGGGAATTCCTGGCTCTAAAATTGAAGAATTTTTCAGTGTCAGTTTAAGGACATCCTGTTACTTTCTTTAACATAAAAATATGCAGCATGGAAATTAATGGTGTATTTACGCCTTTAAACTCCAGGTATGCAGGAACTGGAACCAAGTGTTAAGCAATTTGCTTAATTATTGACTTTTCATAAGAAAAGTCTGGGGGGAGGGGATGTAGAACAGAGTTGCTTTTAGCCGCTCTCTCTCTTTCTCTCTCAAGAGTTTCTGCTGTACATTTCCACCAGAGGACTGTGGTCATGAGAAAAGGAAGTAATAGTTTCTTTCAGTTTTCAAGGCAGAGAGTGTGTCTGTAGTTAACTTCGTTTTCTGTTCAGGGACACTTTGAATCCAATTTTTTGCAGAAGTTGAAACTACTTCTGTTTGGCCTTCATTTTCTCCCTTTGCAAATGAGTTTTCTTTTTACCTTGGGGACAGATGAAAGCAATGTTAGAAAATATGTAAATATAAAAATAAACTGGAATTATTTCATTTCTATAGTTATAACCTAAAATCTGGAAATATATATTTTCCACTTTTCACTTGAGACTTAAATTCCTTTGATTTAAGGAATATTTCCCTAACTATCAAAAAACAAAATGCCAATGAAGAAGTTTTTCAACTAGTAAGTGCTGCTACCCAATGTCCAATATGCTTACAATAATAAAATAAAAACTGTTATTTGAAATAACTGTAATTTTAATTTTTTAAATATATTTTTATTGATTTTTTTACAGAGAAGAAGGGAGAAGTATAAAGAGTTAGAAATATCAAGGAGAGAGAAACATCGACCAGCTGCTTCCTGCACACCTCCTACTAGGGATGTGCCCGCAACCAAGGTGCATGCGTCTGACTAGAATCAAACCTGGGACCTTTCAGTCCACAGGCCGACGTTCTATCCACTGAGCCAAACCAAAGTTGGCTAAAATAATGGTCACTTTTTAATACTTGCAAAATGATATTGTTATGGAAGAAAATTATTGGCTACGATGGCAAAATTAATTATAAGCAGCAGCATACATGTTGATTCCTGAACTGGGCAAATAAATAAATTTTAGTGGACTCAAAGAACTAGGAGAAACTGTAGTTTAATTCTGTTAAGTTAGTAGAATCTCCCATGCTTCTGGAGGGCCCATCTAATAGGTGAGGGGGCGAGAACAGGACACACAGGGCGTGGCCTCATCTGGATGTGTTCTCTTCTGCTCCCAAACTGTGATTCTGGTCTGCCTGCAGTTATCCAATTTACGTGCAAGCCATTAGTAGCCACCTGGCCTGTGCAATTCCGCATTTGAAATCAGCCAGATCAGTATTAAGACTGTGTTTCCTACTGAAACTGGTTTGGCTCAGTGGATAGAGCGTCAGCCTGCAGACTCAAGGGTCCCAGGTTCGATTCTGGTCAAGGGCACGTACTTTGGTTGTGAGCACATCCCCAGTGGGGGGTGTGCAGGAGGCAGCTGATCGATGTTTCTCTCTCATTAATGTTTTAACTATCTCTCTCCCTTCTCTATAAAAAAAAAAATCAATTAAAAAATATATATTTTTAAAAAATTTGTTTCCTCAACAACTTCAAACTTGAGAGAGAAAAATAAGTGAATTTTTTTACTTATAGCCCGATTACTACATACACAGATACTGTTTCCTGACCATACTATACAAATGGCTGATTTTTATAGATGTATAGTGAATTCAAGGAATTTTCTCATAAGTTAACAATACCAAATACAGTCCAAAATATAAACAGTAACATTTATTGGAACATACATAGGAACACACACAATAAGTAGCTAAGGGAACACATTTACTATAAAATCCAAAGGGATCTAAAAATTCTAATTAAGGTGATATCTAATTAAGGTGATTAAAAAGTAAACTCTATGCCAGTAAATAAATTATACAAGTAGGAATCATCTTTGAATGATCAAAGATGAGCAGCCTGTGAGGTTGTTTCAGGGAAGAGGTAGATTGGTTTATATTAAAATTAACACTAACAAGTAGTCATGTGTCAAGACTACTACTTTCTCCATTCTGGGACTTTTATATCTAAAAGGTAGCTATTTATTTTAAGGAAACCAAACAAAAGATTATACTGTTCTTGCTAATATATAGAAATATGAAAATACCATATTCTAATTAAAAATGAACCAAAGGGAAAAAGGAGATCTTTCCAAATTGATATCCTGGAGGTTATGAAATCAAAACAAATGCCATCATAACCTACTCAGGAAGCCAAGGACAGTGTACACTCCGCAACGCCGGTGTTTCCTCAACGGGTGACACGTGCTAAGCACAAGGACAGGTGAGGAAGAAGAGTGTGCGCTACCTTTGCAGGTCAATCTGTCTCTCTGCTGGCGCTGCCTTTTTGGCTCCGTCCTGCAGTTTGGGTGCTTTGGCATTACCTGCTTCCAGGCCGCCGGGGCCTTCCTGGCTGCCCGCGGCTCGCTTCCTTCCCTTGCCAAGAGGTTTACTGACATCATCAGTTTTGGTGGCATTGCCCTGAGATTCAGACTTGGGTCGACGTCCTCTCTTGGGCTTTGAAGGGGCGGGTGGTCCTGATTCATCGACTTCCTCATCCGTTTTCTGCTGGATATTCTCTGCACCAGCGGCTGTGACTGTTCTTTTCTTTCCTCGGTCACTGCTGATGTTGCCCTGGGTAGCCTGATCAGAATTAATCTCCTAAAAGAGCACAAGACGATTCTATAAACACAACTGCTTTAAACGTCAATAACCTGTAGCAGAAAGCTGTATCCTGAATGTATTTGAAAGGGGTTGGGGTTCCAGAGCTTCTCATTAACTACTTGCAGCCGTGAGGAATGTAAACTCCTTGGGGACAGAGATTGGAAGGTGGGATCTACCATGGTGCTGGACACATATAATGTATTCAATGCGTATTTAAAATGCACAGGCGGGCCCAAACCGGTTTGGCTCAGTGGAGAGCATCAGCCTGTAGACTGAAGGAACCAGTTTCGATTTCGGCCAAGGGCACATGCCCAGGTTGCGGGTTCACTCCCCAGTAGGGGGCGTACAGGAGGCAGCTGATCAATGATTCTCATCATTGATGTTTCTCTCTCTCTATCCCCCCCCCCTTCCTCTCTGGAATCAATAAAAATGTATTAAATAAATAAATAAGTAAAAAAAAAAAAAGCACAGGCAGTAAACATAAAATAGAAAATCTACTCAGTTTTGCTACCACATCCATTCTAATGAAAAGGTCCTTTTGCCCTAACCAACTTTGCTCAGTGGTTAGAGCCCCTGTTCCTGGACTGAAGGGTCACAGGTTTGATTCCCGAACAAGAGCACATACCTCGATTGCAGGCTCTATATCGGGGGCGTGCAGATGTTTCTCTCTGTCTCCCCCCCTTTCTCTTTCTCTCTCTCTCAAAAAAACAAAAACAAAACAAAAAGTCAAACCAAACAACAACAACAAAAACCAATGAGTAAATACCCTCAGGTGAAGATTAACCTAAAAAGAAAAGAAAAGGAAAGAAAAAGAAAGAAAGAAGGAAAGAAAGAAAGAAGGAAAGAAAGAAGAGGAAAAAAGATCCTTTTTATTGATGCTCCAATCAACTGAGGCACCTGGCCAGGGTCAAATTACATTTTTAAAAGATCAAATTGGCTTTTATGTGATGATTGGATTGGAAGGGGTCAAGAATGCTAACAAGAAGGTAAAACTACTACAGCATTAGAGGTTTAGTCAATAAGAAGAAAATTTAATAACATTGTAATAGGAAAAATGAACACAGAGATTAGGCTGTTTGAAAGGGAAAAGAAAGACTGCATTAAAAATCACACATTAGCATAGTCACACATACATAATCATTATGTACATATGCATATGAATAAAGAACTCATGGACAAGCCAAATGAAGAGGAAACCAGTTGATTAGCTACAGGTATGAAGGAAAAAAACATTCCAGCCCTGGCCAGTGTGGCTCAATGGATACAGCGCTGGCCCATGCACCGAGTTCACAGGTTCCATCCCTCGTCCCCTTCAGGGACATGCCGGAGACAACCAATCCATAGGTATCTCTCTCTCTCTTCCCCTTCTATTTTCTCTAAAAAACAATGGAAAAAATTATCCTTAGGTAAGGATTAACAACACCACCACCAAATAAGAAGGCTCCTAAAAGATGACATTGACAGTACTGCTTTGCCTAAATACAGAGATGTGTCTTCATTGTTCTTTTAACCATCTCCCTATCCATCCTTCAGATTACAATTTGTTTTCTCTCATAGGAAAATATCAGGAGAGAATGTGTTGATGTGTAACCATGCACATTCAGTTTGCTGAATAATTTTTGTTTATATAACTAAAAAACTGGTTTATGCATCAATCTCTTTGAGAAACTGGCTAGCAAGAAATACTCCCTTAGATCTTTACCTTCTTTTAGCACACTAACAGTATAATTTTTGAGCCTATAAGACAGGACCAGACACTAAAAAGAAATGTCCCTACAACTTATGGGATACCTGATAAGGAGCGATCTATCAGGGCTTTTGTCAAAATATAACCAATCCATCTCCCCAGGTAACAGTGCATTTGTTAAAGCACTCTTTGAAAGTGTGAAAGAGTTAAAATAAGGGTTTGGAACAGTATGATATTATAAATCCTTTAAAATTAAAATTTTAGTCTCTCAGAAATTAGAATTTAATGCCCAATTTATCTTATATAGAATTTTGCAACGAGGCTGGAAAGATTATGGCTAGCTGTTTAACTAAACACTGGTACCTGTACTATCTTGTAATATTTATTGTAGCCACTAAATGACTATGGCAACATGAAATTTTGCATCTAAATTTGTATAAGGATCCTATAATATTCAAATCTATTGCTTCCTGAGTTCCAATATTTTATGTCCCCAAAGATAATTCCTAAAAATTTGATAAAATACCATAAATATATGGTGGGCAACACAAAGATAAGTTTGTCAAGAATATAATCTGTGTGAAGAAAAATAATAGTATCTTCATGCGGTTCCTACTGATGAATGCTATAGTTGATGGAAGCTTAGAAATCAAGCAATCTGCCCACGTAAACAACCAGCAAGTAGCAGAGCCAGGATTCAGTCAGTTGTGTCTGATGATCCCACCAATATTTTCTCCTTCTATCCTACCAAACAATTGGGTGCCATAGTTAAAAGGCCAACAACAAAGAATGCAGCTATTAAAAACTAAAACACATTATAAAAAGTTAATTCATAAATTTAACTTTTAAAAATAGATACAAAAGAATGGCAACCTGGCAAGGTCAATAAACTTTTGAAAGTTAGATCTTAAAAAGTCAAGTCCTAGTCTTCCAAGGCTTGGGAGAAGTGTGGAAGGATCCCATCATCATAATGGGGAGCACTGTAAAGTCACGTCAGGAGATGTGGGCAGAATCACTTTGGGAGAGTGGAAGCGTACTAAAAACAGCAAGGGGTGGTGTGCCACATGTAAAATATGTAGTATACATTCACTTCTTGACTGTGTGTTTCTTACCCCTACCATGAAATTTATAATAAGAATCTTCATGAGAGAAATCTATTTGTTAAATTTTAAAATTTACCTTATTCTTTACTGGATCAATATTTTTTGCAGGTATGACAGAAATAATTCTCACAGGGTTCTCTTCATTTTCACTAACTCCAGTTTCTGCTGCCTCTGAGTTCTGCTCCCTGTGGAAGAAAAATAAACCAAAGCTTCTTTATGTCACCACATGAATAGAAAATTTGTGCTCTCACCATATCAATAGAGAAACGAAGGTTCAGGCTGGTTTAGAAGAAGCTATGTTAGCAAGTGGTCTGTAAACCTTATCAGTAAGGTTGTTGATTTCCATTTAATCTTACTAATATAAGACAGAAATGACTATCTAAAACAGTGGTTCTCAACCTTTCTATTGCCATGACCCTTCAATACAGTTCCTCATGTTGTGGTGACCCCCAACCTACTTCATAACTGTAAGTTTGCTACTGTTATTGAATTGTAACGCAAATATCTGTGTTTTCCGATGGTCTTGGCTCTACAGCAGAGGTTCTCAACCTGGGAGTCTCGACCCACAGGTTGAGAATCTCTAGCGGGGTTTATTAGTATAGATATGTGACATCTATCTATACTAATAAAAGGATAATATGCTAATTAGACCAGACATCCTTCTGGATGTTCTTCCGGAAAAAGCCACAGTGGCAGGGGCAGAGATGGTTAGGGGCAACCAGGCCAGCAGAGGTGAGCAGTTAGGGGCAAGCACGCAGGCAGGGGTGAGCAGTTAGGGGCGATCAGGCAGGCAGACAGGTAAGCGGTTAGGAGCCAGTGGTCCAGGATTGCGAGGGGAGTAGGACATCCCCCAAGGAGTCCCCGAATGGAGAGGATGCAGGCTGGGCTGGGACCTCCTCATCCCCCATGTATGAATTTTGTGCACCAGGCCTCTAGTATATATATAAAAGCCTAAGAAACTGGCTGACTGTACACACAAGTTTGACAACATGTATAAACGGATTCACTTCTCAAAACCACACAAACTACCACAACTTACCTAACAATCCTCTCTATAAAAACCTAAGCTATGATGTGCACTGACCACCTGGGGGGCAAATGCTCAATGCAGGAGCGGAATCCTCAGGCATTGAAACATGACACAGATTGACCAATCTGAGGGAAGCAGGGAGGGAAGAGATTAACCAAAGATCTGATGTTCTCATTAGTCATGATCAGGCCAGGCTGAGGGACCCTCTCTGGTGCACCAGGCCTCTGGTGTTAAAATAAACAGGGGATATTTTTATAAGTGGAAAGGTTATTTTTACTCAACTCATGCTAATAAATTCAATTTATTTAAGAATTACATTTTCGCCTGGCTGGTGTGGCTCAGTGACTGAGTGTGGACCTATGAACTAGGAGGTCATGGTTTGATTCCTGGTCAGGGTATATGCCCAGGTTGCAGGCTCGATCCCCAGTGTGGGGTATGCATGAGACAGTCAATCAATGATCCTCTCTCTCTCTCTTTCCCCCTCTCTGAAATCAATTAAAAAAATGAAAAAAAAAAAAAGAATTATATTTTCCTATGTTGAAATTTCACATATATGGTAGATATATATTTAGAAGACATTTCCATTTAAATTAGTTATATTATAAATCCTTGTGTTTTTTCCATTTAACTTTCTACACATTTAGAATGTTATACTACACTCACAATTTACATCATTAGTGCTAATTTAGCACTACTATTTTGTACCAAAATATTTCCTAAAGATGATTTCTATGATATAGTGCTTTAGAAAAAATTAAAAGATAAATTGAGTTGTGAAATAAAAACAAGTGAGGGAAAATTACCTTGACCGATTTCCTGTTGGAGGGCTTAGCTCTGAGTTTACATTGATGTTGCTTCCAGTCTCAGCTCCAGTGCTCCTAACACACGGCTTCCTTCCTGCTGCTGATAACGGCTTGTTTACTGCACCTAGCACTCCAGCAGGTTTTGGCTACAATTAAATATACATGTTACTTTTTACCTTACTGAAAAGAATACATGCGCATTTAGGCACATGTAAGAAATATTTAGCTTAAGCTAAGGAATTATTGTTATTTTAGAACGTCTATCCTAAATGTCTTAGAAATGACAATTCTATGAAACTACACTTATCTGAATATAATAATTACAAATCAAGTATTACCTATACTTAATAATTAGGCAATATTTAATTATTCCTTGCTGCTCAATTGAAATAAAAAGGCCCCATAAACACAGTGAATATAATAAATAATATAAAATAAAACGTATTACAAATAAACTGAGGGTACATAGTATTAGTTCAGATAGTGCTAATTGAAAATCAAATTTACTTTTGCTCTTTTAGGGGTCATATTACTTTTATATAATATAAGCTGTCTAACTCATTAATACATTGAAATTATTTCTTCCCGTTATATCTTACACATCTAAAATTATTATACTACTTTTCAGAAAAATCTGCTTTGTGGATTCTAAACTTTAGAACCAGGACTGATGAGATCACATGATCGTAATTCAGAAGCGTGGTTAATGGCCATGAGAGCCCCAGAGCTCAGCCTGTGTGGCTCAGTGCTGAGCGTGGACCCCTGAACCAAAGAGATCTCCAATTTGATTCCCGGTGGAGGCACATGTCCAGGGGATTCAGGCTTGATCCTCAGAAAGGGGCGAGGTGATATGCAGGAGGAAGCTGATTGATGTGTCATCAGTTTCTCTCTCTTTCCCTTCCTCTCTAAAATCAATTAGAAAAAAAAAAAAAAAAAAAAAAATAGCCCAAGAGAACAAATAAGTTTTTTAAAGAACAAATGCTTTAGATCCTACAATCCACAACATGATCCCTAAGAATCAAAAACTATAAAATCTGGGGGACAGTTAATGGTTATATCTCGGTATCAGAAGTAATATATACATGAAATAAAGATCCCCAATTTATCTAGTACATAATACCTTTCCTGTTAACAGAAGTACTCGCGTCTCTTCTGAAATATAACTCTTGTCATTACAGAAATCCTATAAAAGAAAATCAAAGTCAACATGTGTATTTTTATTACATGTGTTTACGTATCAATTAATCAGACAATGCATATTTAATGAACCATACCATAAGTCTAGCTTTAAAATTAAATCCATGGCACATAAGACTTAGGCAAATATCAGAGATAAATTACTTAAATCATATTTTAAATGGAACACTTGCATTTTTTTCATGTTCTGATTTTGTCCAAATCAAAAAGGTGAATACACCATCAAAATATAATTAAGTGAATTAAGCCAAATGTGGAGACTGAAGATACTTTCCTGTAAATTATATCTAGAGCTCAACTTTGATACTTCCATGCTTTTCTGTTACATATCCCGGGGACAGCACACAAATAACCCACCGTGGTGTCAAAGAAACAAAATGCTTCACTACAATCAAGAAGTTCATTAAAGTAACATTTTCTTTTATTATGTTTACCTTCTTACTAGTGTTTTAGGAGAGAGCAGTGCCCATAAAGAAATCACTTTTGACATTGTTCTAGGCAAAGCTGTATCTTCTTTCTTTTCTTTTCGCACAAAGGATTTTTAGCTAAATTACATGTTACAAGGCCTAGGCACCAAAGTTCATTTATTTTATTCATGAAGATAACACTATAGCCTCACTAGTACTATCTCAATATGCCTACATTAAAAGCAACATATTAGAAAAGGAAATGAGGAAAGTTGTTCATTGAAAACAGAAAAAAACAAGATATTATTAAGGGAAAAAACACTAAGTTTCAAATATCAAATTAAGAAACTATTAAAATTATGTGCAGTGACAAAACAATTTAATTATTGAGAACAGGATCACTACTGTATGAATATTCTATTTGGGTACTATTCCAGTCATGACAGCTCTGGGTTAACAACAAAGTAAACTTAAATTCAAGAGCTCACTTAATATTTGTAAAGATGAATAAATTCAATTAAAGGGCAAATAATTTTATAATTCTTATTATTCCAATAAAAAAAGGCACAATATATGCCAAATACTAAATCATTAAAGAAAATCTGATTAAAATTTTTGTCAAAGTATGGCATTCAAAGTAGGAAGCTTTATTTTCTGGAATGTTCTTCTGGAAAGTACTGTGTGTGTAGGGTGGGGGGAGAGGGAAGATATTACTCTGAAATCTATCTTCAGGTTTAAAAATGTATAAAAAAAATGATAAGAACTGCATTTTTTTCCTGATTACAAAGCACAGGAAAATTAAACTTTAAAATGCCATCTTAAAGCAGGAAATAAAGGATTAAGAGTTTAAAAAAATGTTAACATTGAATCATTAAAGAAAATAGTCAAAAGGAAGATATTCCCTACTCAATATTCTTTCTCTCCTTGATATGACTAATTAAAAAAAAAAAAATTAGCTAGAGAGCCAGGCTGCAGTGGTTTATTTATCTGAGCTTCTATATCAGGAGGCCATGGTTTAATTCATGGTCATGGCACATGCCCAGTTGCTGGTTCAATTCCCAGTAGGGGGCGTGCAGGAGATAGCCAATCGATGATTCTCATTGTGGATGTTTCTATCTTTTCTCCCTCTCCCTTCCTCTCTGAAGTCAATAAAAAAATATATTTTTAAAAAGTTAGCTAGAGAAATGTAAAGGAGATTGAGTTAGCTGGAAAACTTATTTACATAAAAAACTTAATTTGCTGATAGCAAAATAAATGTACTATGTATGGCTGAGCAGACAGAGCATCATCTTGTGGTCTGAGGGATCCCAGGTTAGATTCTTGGTCGAGTTGCAGGCTTGATCCTCCATAGGGGGTGCAGAAGGCAGCCAATCAATGATTCTCTCTCATCATTGATGTTTCTATCTCTCTCCCTCTCTGAAATCAATAAAAATATATTTTAAAAGTGGTTGATTAGAATCCAGGTGTATCAATTATCAAAACCAATTCCATTAATTCTAACTCTTTATTTCATATATATATGTACTCTTCTACTCTGTAAGGTGAGAATGATACTGTTCAGGGCTCTGGAAGACAAGCCCCCATTTCTTCATAAACTCACAGAGGTATTTTTAAAAAAAGATATATTTTATTGATTTCTTACAGAGAGGAAGGGGGAGAGAGAGAGAGGGTTAGAAACATTGATCAGCTGCCTCCTGCACCCCCCCCCCCCACCACCACCACTGGGGATGTACCCGCAACCAAGGCACATGCCCTTGAAAGTAATCAAACCTGGGACCTTTCAGTCCTCAGGCTGATGCTCTATCCACTGAGCCAAACTGGTTTCGGCGAGGTATTTTTTTTTTTTTTTTTTTTACTCTACAGTCGAGACAATCAAATATTTGCCACTGAAGTTGATAGTAACTGAATATTAAATCAGTTTGTGTGGTAGAAAAAGAAAGGGAAAGAAAATTACCTTTTCAGGTTGTGTAAAAAATTTCATTGGAAGTACTGGATCCTTTGGTGAGTCTGCATTGCACAAAGCACTTTTACTATTTATAACACACAGAGCCACATCACATACTGTATAAAGTTTCTAGGGAAAAAAAAAAAAAAGATCATATATAGCTTTCAATAGTGCAAAATAATTACAAGAACCAATTCTACCCAATGCATAAAATGGAATCAAAAGAAGAATGTGTGGTTATTATTTATTCCTTGAACATTTCACATTTGTATTTGACATTTATTTTTATGTAGCTTCCTGTTAAACAAAAAACTCATTTAACATGAATGCCAAGTATGCATTAAACAACAGCAAACATACCAAATCAAAGTAAACCAAAGAAAACAGAAAAATATAAGATTTACTTACTTATCTGTAAATCTCACTAAAAGTCTGAGAGACAGTACAATTGTACAATTTACTAGCTCTCATCTCCTTGCTCTGGAGAAGTTTTAATGTCTTTTCAGAGTAACAAACAGGCCTCAAATAATAGAATTTAACAGTAACAAAACAATAAAAACTGACTATAAATACATATTTGTACAAACATTCTGTAATCAATATATTAATAGCAAAAACAAGTGGGACAAGGGCAGATATTTTTTCCTATGACATCTTACTGGACCAATATATCTTACTTCATTTGTCTTGGATTCATCTGGAGACTGGGCATCTTTTGTTAACTTGATGTTCTCTGCCATCTTCTTCATAAAGGCATGGCTATTGTTTTCATTCTTTGTCATTAAAACTTCAAGCATGAACCATAGGCACCTAAATGGTAAACATTATTCATGTATTACAGAGGTTACATGTAGGTGTTTCTGCTTAAATGGATTATATATCTTTTTGGAAAGTTCTGATACTTGAATATAGAAAGAGCAAAATATACAATGGGGGGGAAAGGAGACTTATGTAATACTTCAAACAATAAAGAATTTAAATAAAAAAGTAAAATATAAAGAAAACCCTAATGCTTAATAGAAATATCTTAATGTTAAATTTAAATGGAAAATTAAATCACCAAAATATTAAAAATGAAGACAGCTAATATGAAAAAATATGACAGTTTCATGAGGCACATAATCATTCTAGTTCAGCCAGTTTGGCTCAGAGGTTGAGTGTGTTGACCTTTGAACCAGGTCACAGTTTGATTCCCGGTCAGGGCATATACTCCCAGTGTGGGGTGTGTAGGAGGCAGCCAATCCATGAATGGTTCTCTCTCATCACTGAAGTTTCTATTTCTCTCTCTCCCTTCCTCTCTGTGGGGGGAGAAAAAAGGACTCCTTCTAGCCCTGACTTGTGTGGCTTAGATGGTTAGTACTGTCCTGTATTCTTAAAGGTCTCGGGTTCAATTCCCAGTCAGGGCTAGGTTTCGGCTTCCATCCTCAGTCAGGATGCATATGAGAGGCAACGACATATATATCCTCTCATAGTGATGTTTCTCTCCCTCTCCTTTTCCCTCTCTAAAACCAATAAACATACCCCCAGGTAAGGATTGAAAAAACCAAGAGTACAAAGCAAAAGCCAGCAATGGAAAAGAAAGTATCGCTTTAAAGTTTTTTTGAGGCCATTTGTAGACAATCCTAGGTCATCTCTCACTTGTTCACCCTGCATCACACACCAAATTCTAGTTCACATAAAGAATACTCTCAGAACCAGTGCTTTGCAATCGTGACTTGCCTCTCTCCTCTAGAGACAAGTATGTGCCTGGGATAACAAATCTAATTTTGTATTACCCCAGTCTTGCCACAGAATATTTTGAATGTTCAGCATATTTTTAGGCATTATCTTTTGAGGTTGAAAGTAAAAATCATTTATGCCCTAACTGGTTTGGCTCAGTGAATAGAGCACTGGCCTGCGGAATCAAGGGTTCCAGGTTCAATTCCGGTTGAGGGCATGTATTTTGGTTGCGGGCATATACCCAGTGGGGAGTGTGCAGGAGGCATCTGTCCGATGTTTCTCTCTCCTCTATGTTTCTCTCTCTCTATCCCTCTCCCTTCCTCCATGTAAAAATTCAACAAAATATATTAAAAAAAAAAAAAAAAAAGGAAAAAAAAGAAAGTAAAGATCATTAAAGGAGAGAAATTTTTACTACATGGCTTTCTTTTTTCTTTTTAATATATTTTTTATTGATTTTTCACAGAGAGGAAAGGAGAGGGACAGAGAGTTAGAAACATTGATGAGAGAGAAACATCAACCAGCTGCCTCCTGCACACCCCCATCGGGGATGTGCCCGCAACCAATGTACATGTCCTTGACCGGAATCGAACCCGAGACCCGTCAGTCCGCAGACCAATGTTCTATCCACTGAGCCAAACCGGTTTCGGCTACTACATGGCTTTCTAAGTTGTCAAACTAAGTAACCAAAGCATGTATTAATATAAACAGCACAAATAACAAAACATAAAAGGGTTTTTATTCTAATGGAAATAGTAAAAGAAAAAATTAAGCATTTTTTAAAATGTAAAAATAATTTTAAGAATTTGTGAAAATCAACGTATCTTACTCTTTAATATCACGAAGCTGATCAACATCTTGTGACCTTGTAAAATCTGGATCGTGGGCTAGCAGGTGAATCATGTATGGAACTACATATTCAGGCAACAGTGATAATAATTTCTCTAAAGTGAAAACATTATTATTAACAACAGTAAAGGTAGCTTTTCTAAAATCCCTCTACTTCAGTTTTCATTTTCCCTCTCAGTTATTCTACATTACAGGCAACATAAAACCCAATACTAAAATACTTTTATTTCTATTTTAAATGTTACAAAACCAAAGAATAAGTTAGATGATATGGAGGGTCTCTGGCAAAGCTAGAATAATTCTTTACTCACTGACATTTGAGCAAAGTGTTCTAATTGAGCCATACTGCTGGTCCCATAAGAAAAATGCAGTTTCCTCAAACAGTATCAGGCACTATAGAGGGCTCAGAAACTAGAACTTTAGATTTTAGGTACATCATAATTGCAAAGAGAGCATTCTATAGAAATCGCAGTATTATTATAAATTACAATAGAAATATATAAAATACTCTCCCAATAACATACTAACAGGATATATTTGCATACCAGAAACTTTCAAAGTGACTTACCAGTAGCCATAGGGTTCTGTTTAATGTACTCCCTGCGTATACTGATATTTTTCAGTAAACACTGTCGTGCATGTGCTCTTCTCTCCTTCACAGGATCTTTGGCACACAAGGCAAAGATTGCCATATACTCCAATGGAAGAAGCAACTTCACAAGGGCCTTATGCAATTTCTGAGCAAATATCTGTCTTACTTGGTAGCACTCATCCTACAGCAGCACAAAACCAAAAAATACTTAAATACAATCTCTTTTGTGCACATATACATACTGTAAATGGATCTATATCCATAAAATACTTTCTATGTATTTAACTTTGAAGGCTAAGTAACTGACAAAAATAAGGTTACTTACATTAATAACAAGTGCACAGAGCTGAAACTGTTCTGGGGTTATAATTTCATGGTAACAAGGTTCCTGAGCAAGCTTCATTATGGCACTACCAGCAGCTAATCGCAAGCGAGACATATCAGATTTACTATAAACAAAAAAGAAATAAACATTTCCTATAACCATTATCATTCATAAAAATACTTTGATCCTTTTTTTGAGTATTAAGATAGCACAATTTATGCTTAAAATGACAATGTACAAATATGGGAAAGCTACTTTGAATCCTTGAATTCAATACAGCTAAAAAGGCTCAAATCATAGTGACTATCTAATAATAAATTTATATGCCTTCATTTTTAGTTATGGTTTAGCTTCGATCCTCCACCACAGTCAATAAACTCTGATTACAATCACAACCACACTAAATGCAGCTCTCAGAAGAATATTAGGAACTATATTTCTCATTTTAAGAGGAATACACGTTCATTGTAGAAAATCTGATTTAAAAAAACCACCAAATTAAGATAACCTATTAAAATACATTTTCTTTTTTTAATTTTTATTTTTTATTTTTTTAATATATTTTATTGATTTTTTACAGAGAGGAAGGGAGAGGGATAGAGCTAGAAACGTTGATGAGAGAGAAACATCAACCAGCTGCCTCTGCACACCCCCTACCACAACCAATGTACATGATCCTGACTGGAATCGAACCTGGGACCTTTCAGTCCGCAGACTGATACTCTACCACTGAACCAAATCGGTTTCGGCTAAAATATATTGTCAATGCTCAACAATTTTTAAATGCACCTGCTTGTATACATACGTTTAATAGAATTCTAGCTTAAGCGTACCTGTCCGATGAAATGGAAGGCTAGAAATCAGGAAATGATTTTTGTAACAGAAAAGGGGAGGTATCAGACAAACACCTAAAAGGAAAAGATACCTCCCTGGCTGTCATGGCCAGAGATTAGAACTTTGGCCCGGGCACTGGAGGGGTGAGGGTCTGATTCCCAGACGAGGTCACGTACCTGGTTTATAGATTTGACCCCTGGCCTGCCAGGTGCATGTGAGAGGCAACTGATCGATGTTTCTCTCTCACACTGATGTTTCTCTCTCTTTCTTTGGTTCCCTTCCACTTTCTCTAAAAATCACTAGGCCCTAGATGGTTTGGCTCGGTGGATAGAGCACCAGGCCTGCGGACTGAAGGGTCCCAGGTTTGATTCCGGTCAAGGGCTTGGGTTGCAGGCTCGATCCCAAGTAGGGGGCATGCAGGAGGCAGCCAATCAAAGTGATCCTCTCATCATTGATGTTTCTCTCTCTCCCTCTCCCTTCCTCTCTAGGAAAAAAAATCATGGGAAAATTATCCTCAGGTGAGAAGTAACAACAACATTTAAAGGAAAGGCTATGGAGATGAGAACCAGTCTAATTCAAGTACCAATCTCTGAGGAGACTTTTTTTGCACCATCAGTTTTAAAAGGGAAACTGGGAGGTCCATGCACTCTCACCCAGTGGACTTTTTATCACCTTAATCAGGGTTGGGAACGTCTGGCCTGCAAGCTGTATAAGGCCTGCAAAATAATTTGGTCTGCCCTGCCAAGATATTAGGTGTGAGTTCATGAAATGTATGACCAAATTAGCAGGCTAATTTTTAGACAGATAATTTTGTATTGCTTGTGAATTATGCTATAAATATCTAAATGGCCCTTGGCAGAAAAAAGGTTCCCTACTCCTGATCCTAAATAGTAAAAAGTGACACTGAATGGGATGAAAGGACGATCTTCTCACTTCAACTTCTATGCAAAACATAGCACGGTTTAAAAGACTGTAGGAAATGTGAAAATCTGGTCAGAATCCATAAGGGATTATTATTAAGCATAGCAGTCGCCAACCTTCTGGACCTCACAGACCACCAGTTGGTGACCGCTGATTTAGCATACAAGAGGAGAAAGCATGCACTCTTGGGTAACAGGACTGTCAAAGTGAGCACTGGCACTCTAGCTAGTTTGTCTTAGTGGATAAGAGCTTGGCCTGTAGACCAGAAGGTCCTGGGTTCGATTCCAGTCAACGGCACATGCTGGATTTGTGGCCTTGATCTCCAGTAGGGAGTGTGCAGGAGGCAACCGATCAATGATTCTCTCTGATCATTGATGTTTCTCTCCCTCTCCCTCTCCCTTCCTTGCTGAAATCAATAAAGATATATTTAAAACAAAATAAAGTGAGTACTTGTAACAGTGAGGGACAAAAAATGCTGTAAAGAGCATGATTCTTTTATCTCATGAGCGTAAAAATAGAGTCAAAGGATAACATTTTTAAGGATCTAGACAAAAAATGCCAAACTGTCCTGATAAGACTGTGCCAATATATATTTACTGGAATAATGAGGGAATTCATTTCCCTGACCCCATGGAACTACTCCTTAAAAAAACAGTGTGTGTGTATGTATATGTACATATATTTTGCCCAGCTGGCATGGCTCAGTGGTTGAGCGTTGACGTATGGGTCACGGTTTGATCTGGGTTAGGACACAGCCAGGGTTGCAGGCTTGATCTCCAGTAGGAGGAATGCAGCAGGCAGCTGATCAATGATTCTCCTATTAAATGTTTCTATCTCTCTCTCCCCCTCTGAAATCAATAAAATTAAAACAAATATGTAGAATACGTACTTTTACTGATCTAATAGGCAAGATGTATCACTTAAGTTTAAATTGTATTTAGTGATGTTAACCATTTAAAAAAAATTTTTTTTATTGATTTCAGAGAGGAAGTGAGAGGGAGAGAAAGAAATATTAATGATGAGAGAGAATCATTGATTGGTTGCCTTATGCACCACCTGTATTGGGGATCAAGCCCGCAACCCAGGCACGTGCCCTTGACCAGAATCAAACCTGGACCCCTCCAGGCTACAGGCTGATGCACTATCCACTGAGCCAAATTGGCTAGGGAATGTTAAACATTTTTAAAGGTAAACTGGTACATAGTTTTCTGGGGACTCTATCTATTTATCATTGATTTGTAAAAGCTCCTTTTATTAAGCCTTTGCTATGCACTGTACATAGTTTCCCTAAATATGAAACTTCCCTAAATATGAAACTAACTCAGCTCTAATCTTCATTCTGTTCATACAAAGCTTCCCTTGACTTGTTCTATGATAAAAATAATTTTTCATGGTTTTCTTCAGTTTATCAAAACATTCAGCATCTCTACTGTAATCGCTCATTTCCTATCTCTTCCACCAGAATGCATATTCCTCGGAGGGAGAGATTTTTGTATGTTTAAAAGCATAGCAGTACCTGATATGAGAATGCTCAATAAATACTGTCTGCATAAATGAATAAAACCTGTCCTCTAACACCAGTTTTAAAGTAGGATGCATCACAAGTAGGATTCTTTAGTTATTTCTGTTAGTGCTTTTGAAATCTAGTACATCAAGAATTTGAAATATGCTAGGATCATAAAAACTTTGGGTTTTATTTTCATCTTAGGAAGAACAGAAAGTAGAGATGGTAATTTCACAGATGTAAAGAGCAAAAATGTGTAGAAATGAAAACATTTATTTTGCATTTGGAAGATCCTGTAGTCTTTTGCAATTCACTAAGAGGCTGCAACTCTTTTTTTGAAACCTACACTGAAATTTTTATTCCTTTCGTTTTACCAAGTCACTCTGCTTTTTATCTCACTATACTATACAAAGTAAGTTCCTTGAAGGAAAGAACTGAATCTTACCTGTTTTTGCTGCAATGTTTTTCATAGTATTTTGCAGAGTAGTATTCCAACAGATAAATTGATTAGCTGAAACAAATGCTGATGCTAACTGTAACATTTCTACAGTGATAATGACTAAATATTTATTGGGAAGAGTTTAGTCTTTAGGAGTAAAGAAAAATATAACATCACTATTGAGATGTAAAACCCAAGTGAGTACATGAAAATTGATTCCAAAGAACATGGTGCAATTACAACATTCAATATTCATTAGGTAAATAATTCCTATGTAAGTTCTACCAACATTTTGAGCTAAAAAAAAAATTAAAAACAAAGAAAAATCTCACCTGATCCTCTTCTGCTCTGTCAGGTCACCCTCACTAACCAACATCGCTGATAATAACCGAAGAGTTGAATTGGCAGATTTAGACTGGTTGTTTTTCATCCCCAACAGCCACCTTACCAGAAGTTTAATTGCCTGTACCTATAAAATATTAACATGCTAAAAAAAAAGAAAGCAACCTAAAATTCCAATTAAATGGAAATTTAATTTAATTAGATAACTGAGCTTAATTGTCAGCAGATATGCTTTATTAAATAAGTCTACAGAATAATAACAATAAGAACTAATATTTATTCCATTTAATCTGCCACCAGGCACTTTTCCTAGGGTTGTAAATGTATTAACTTATTTAATCTCCAAGCAACTCTATGAGGGAAGTATTATCTCCACCGTAAGACAACTGAGACATTATTATGACGGATAACTTGACAGAAGGTGTGGCTCCTGAACTCAGGCCTTTCACACCCAAACACTTGCCAGTGTTTTCAAAGTATGTGAAAATATATTGTTTAAAATAACTATTGAAACTATCTCAATTATAGTGATTGAAAATAACTATTACTATTCAGACTAATATTCTTTGTAGTACTGAAAAACTATTTTGATGAAACCATCGAGTCTAATTCAATCTCATTTGACATTCTGGTAAAAAAAAAAACACCAAGCAACACTAGGAGATTCCATTTGTGATCATAATTACTTGGAAGCTTATACTCAAAAGATTGCTACCAACATATGTGAAAGCACTAACTAAAGGATATAGGTGATATATTTATTGACAACCTGAAAAAAGGAACTGATGGAATATATAATGTCTCTGAAGTTACACAAGGTGAATCAGATTATCAAGGAAAGTGATAATGAAGAAGTCTTATTTTAAATCCCAACACTACCACTTTAAAAATTAGTTTTATGAGCTACAATTTACATCTACTGAAAGTTAACAATTTGATGACAGCCATCTGTTTTTTGCCAAGTTAATATTAATATGCTTATAGTAGGTAAGATAGTGATGGTGAGGCTAGATGTGAGATCTAGATTTTGAGCTTCAACATTCTGCAATCACTTGAGTAAAAACAGCCTCACTGAAAATGTTTTAGCTGGCAGAAAGGTCTACATAAGATGCAGATATATTATCTATCTATATAAAAGCCTAAACTACCATTGCAACCAAATGATAACTGACCAGGCTTTGTAGGGTGAGGGGGAGGGGATGGGAAAGGGGATTGTTGGGGGCCATCAGGCAAAAGCTGTTAGGGTTGATCAGGCTGGCAGGGGGGGGCAGTGAGGGGCAATAAGGCCAGCAGGCAGAGGTGGTTAGGGGTGATCAGGCTGGCAGGGAGAGGGGGGCAGGGAGGAGGGCAGTTAGGGGTGATCAGGCAGACAGACAGGTGAGTGATTAGGAGCCAATGGTACAAGACTGTGAGAGGGTGCAGGCTGGGCTGAGGGAACCCTCTCCCCTCTGCACCAATTTTGTGCCCTGGGCCTCTAGTCTATATATAAATAACTCAGTGAAAACTGGTTCCTTTTAGAAACACACACTTTTGATTTAAAAATAAAGCAACTCATTTAAAACTCATTCTTAACTATTAGGTTAAAAAAAGGTTATCTATGAATGTTTATTTTTCAACATAAAAGTTATCAAGACCTACAAAAATTTACCTTTGCTAGCACTTCTGGGGAAACCTCTTCATCTGGAGACCATAATTTTCCATTCTTCTCACCTGTTGACTATAGTCAATTGAATAAATTTAATTTAAAAAAAATTTATGTTCTGCTCATTAAATTTTTCATGCTGAACAATGCAGTGCTATAGGAAAGTCATCAAGAATAGTTTAGAAAAGAACAAAGTTGAAGAATTCAAACTTCCTGATTTTGAAGCTTACTAGAGATCTACAGTAATCAAGATAATATGATTGGTACTGATGTAAGTATAGGCATTTAGGCCAATGAAATAATATAGAGAAACCAGAAAACCCTTAAATATATATGTTTAACTGATTTTTAAAAAAAATATATTTTATTGATTTTGTACAGAGAGGAAGGGAGAGAGAGAGTTAGAAACATCGATGAGAGAGTCATCGATCAGCTGCCTCTTGCACACCCCCTACTGGGGATATGCCCGCAACCAAGGTACATGCCCTTGACCGGAATCGAACCTGGGACCTTTCAGTCCCCAAGCCGACGCTCTATCCATTGAGCCAAACCGGTCTTGGCGTTTAACTGATTTTTTAAAGGGTGCTAAGATCAATTATTAAGGAAAGAAGAGTCTCTTCAACAAATGGCACTAGATCTCCACAGGCAAAAGAATAAAGCTGAACTGTTACCACTTATCATAAAATATGAACTTGAAATGGATCAAAGATCTAATTTAAGAACTAGAAAACTGTCAGGAAGATATAGGGGAAATCTTTGATTTTGCATTTAGCAAATATCTGACAAAGGTTTAATATTCAGGGTTTAATATTCAAAGGTCTAATATTCAAGAATTTAGAATTCTTACAGGAAAAGCAACCAATATAATACCTTAATAAAAAAATGAAAAAAATTATATTAAAAAAAAATTCTTAAAACTCAACAATGAGAACAAACAACTCAATTAAAGGTGGGCAAAGGACTTTCAAAATCCAAAGAAAATATTTAAATGGCCAAAAAGCACATTAAAAAAATCCCCAACATCATTAGTCATTAGGGAAACCTAAATCAAAACTACAAGATAATGCTTCTTGTATGGCTATTATAAAAAAAAAAAAACACTCAGAAAAGAATAGTGTTGCAAAGATGTATTGGAATTGAAATCCTTGCTCATTGCTGGTGGGAATATAAAGCTACTGTGGGAAACAATTTGGTGATACCTCAAAAAGTTTCACATAGAATGACTATATGACTCAGGAATTCCACTTCTAGGTATATACCCCAAAGATCTGAAAACAGGGACTCAAATGTTCATATCAGCATTATTCATAATAATGAAAAGGTATAAAAAAATCCAAGTGACTATCAACAGATGAATAAACAATATGTAGGCTACACGCACAATGGATTATTCTAGCATAAAATGAAGTTCTGATTCATACTACAGTATAATACAACCTTGAAAGCATTATACTCTGAAATAAGCCAGACACAAAAGAACAAATACTATGATATGTGTAGAAGAGGTCTGTAGAAAAAGCAAATTCATAGAGCCAGCAAGTTGGAGGCAATGGGAAGTCATTGGTTAGCAAATACAGTTTCCATCTGAGATGATAAGTTCTGGAAGTAGATAGCAGTCATGGTACACAACAATGTGGGTGCATATTTTAGCTGGTAGGTTAGGTCATTTTGGAAGAGTTACTTGGCTTTCCTGAGTATCTCCCATGTACCAGTATACAGGAGGGGTGTGTGTGTGTGTGTGTGTGTGTGTGTGTGTGTGTGTGTGTGTGTGTGTGTGTGTGTGTGTGTGTGTGTATATGATTAAACTTGTTTTGTCTTTTAAAATGAATCAAAACAAAAACATCCAACAAAAATATTAAGAATATGGGTGAATATAGCATAGGCAAACTGTACACTTAATGGTAAAAATGGCAGAGTTTATTTTATGTATATTTTATCACACAAAAGAGCCATTTTTAATTAGGATCCATTAACAATTAAGTCATCATCTAAGAGGTGCCTTAAATTTCACATTTGTTGCCAGCTACATCTAGCAACAGTTCAAAAAACAGCACAAGAATGTGGAATAGGAATGAGACTTTGGCCATGCTCTTTCATCCTTGTCTATTACATCCAAGGGTGAAGGGAAAAGAGGAGAGTGCACTGCCAAGTCTCTTCCTACCTAAGCTCAGAAATTGAGGACTTGAAGACAACTGGACCATGTGGAAGTCAGCATGAACTGAAAGGCGCCCACAATGATCCAGCAGGTAAGACTGGTTTGCCTTTATTAAATAAATTAGCTCTTTAGCCCTGGCCGGTTAGCTCAGTTGGTTAGGGTCTTATCCTCATATGCCAAGGTTGTGGGTGTGATCCTGGTCAGAGTACATACAAAAAGCAACCAGTAAGTATATAAATAAGTAGAGCAACAAATCGATGTTTCTCTCTCCCCCTCTTCCTCTGGCTCTAAAATCAATTAAATAACTTTTAAATTTAGGTACATTTAATAAAGTAGAGATTTTTTTTAAATTTTATTCACTTATTGTCTAAAGTTTTACATATATCTCTTTTTTCCCTGATTGACACCCCCTCCCCTGACTAAAGTAGAGATTCTTAATCAGAGGTGTGTTTGGACTCCAACTGAGAGCTAATACATTAGTATGTGTGTGCGTGTGCAAGCACACACACTCACACACAATTCATTAACTAAAATATAATACATAAATATAGGGCCAAAGTGCAATGTAATTATATTTCAAAATGTTAGTTAAATTCAATTTCACTTTTTAACAATGTTTAATAAAACAAAATTCTGGCACTCAAATAAATTGTCCTTTGATTTATATTTTTTAAATAATTTATTCATCTCATGTTCTCATTTTTTCTTTTTTAAAAAAATATTATTTTTTATTGATTTAAGAGAGGAAGGGAGAGGGAGAGAGAGACAGAAGAAACATCAATGACAAGAGAGAACCACTGACCAACTGCCTCCTGCACGCCACCCACTGGGGGTAGGTTCTACAACATGGGCATGTGCCCTTGACCGGAATCGAACCTGGGACCCTTCAGTCCTCAGAACGATGCTCTATCTGCTGACTCAAACTAGTTAGGGCTCATTTTTTCTTTCTTAAAAGTTAACATCTAGTAATAGTTAAACAGAAGAATGTCATTTGGAAATTAAGTAAATAAATAAGGAGGAAAAGCATACAATAATTTAAAAAGAATATATAAGAAGCAAAAATGTTTACTCTGTGATAAAGTTGTAGATAGATAGTCTTAATCTTAAGATTCTAAATTTAATTAAGTGAGAAACTTACCCTGTCATTCATTAGCAGATCTTTCACAATAAAATTTGCTACTACAGATTTCATTGGGGAAGCAAATTGATCTGGTGCTAACATAGAAATGTGGCCCAATGAAACTAATGGAGTTATAAGTTGTTCTGGTACATCAGCATTCAGACTCCTACTGAGTGGCTATAAAAATAAAACAGTCAAAATTACCAGTTTGTTTTGTAAATAAATAGACATTCTACAGAAAGAACAAATGTTCCTAATTCCTCCTGAATTTATCATGCTCAAACAAATCTGTTCTAATTATATGATCAAAAGTAACTTCAGTCATATCAGACACTTGTCTCTTATTTCACCTACTAAAATTTAACAAGTCTGAAGAATGCAGAAAATAGATAATAGAAAAAAATAAAGCACAATTAAAGGTAGGAGTGAAAACAAGAACATTTCTGTATCATCAAATCAGCATTATTTTTGAGCCATCTTCAAGAATAATTTTGTTATGTTAATGAATTTTTTATCCTGTGGAAACATTTTAACTGACTATGAATCATAAAAAAACAGACATCACTGGGTTCTGTTCGTATTATATCCAATTTTATGGTAATAGAAATACCTTTCTAGTAATGAAATCAGGCCAAGAATCATATATAAGGAAAGGCCAACAGGACTAATTTTCAGGTAAGGGTATCAGGTACTTTTAACTCGGTGGTTCAAAGTCATTTAATAGTTTTTGAGGGTTAAATGGATTACTGACCCAATTAAGTAAAATATCCTAACACAAACATACAAACACCCTTCCATACATAGTATTTAAATATATAATCTGAATATGTATATTTAAATATATATTGCTGAATAAACAGAGAGAGATTCTGCTCCCATGGAATATTCTAGAGTGGGATAAAAAACACACCTAAAAAAACAAAAAGACCCACAACAAACAAAAAAACCTATCTTCACAGACTATAAAAATCAATACAAAGATACCCTACATATTATATATACCTCAAAAATCTGTGCAAGCTGGACTTCTTTATTTGTGAATATGGCGTGTATACAGTGAACAGCCTGTTTTGCTTGGTGTGGAGTACCTCTCTTTGCTTTCTGATGTAAAATAGGAATTAAAGTCCTGTAAAAAACAAAAACAGAAATTCAAAACAAAAGCCCATAAGCTACAAGTAGATGTTTTAGTTACCTTCTATGTTCTCTTCTATAACTATCTGGATATATACTGATAGGAAAGTCTGTCTTAAAAACTACCAGATTTATAGAAAGATCTAAAGTTCCTTCTCAGTTCTCAAGTATGATTCAAGGAATACCAGTAGCAAAAGATCAAATTTTATGAAAAAGCTGAAATTATCATACCAGTGAAAGAAAGTATGCAAGGTCACAGACATGTATATATTGGTAACAGAGTAATAAAAATATCTCACAATGATTGAGTACTTGATGCAAATTATGATTCTAAGTATTTTTATATGGATTAATCTTCAAAGAGAATTAATTATTACAGTCAATAAACAGGTGAAAAAAACCAGTGCACAAAAACATTGTTTGAGATTTTTAAAAAATATATATTTTATTGATTTTTCACAGAAAGGAAGAGAGAGGGATAGAGAGTTAGAAATATCGATGAGAGAGAGTCATCGATCAGCTGCCTCCTGCACACCCCCTACCGGGGATGTGCCCGCAACCAAGGTACATGCCCTTGACTGGAATCGAACCTGGGACCTTTCAGTCGGCAAGCCAAACCGGTGCCGGCTGGTTTGAGCTTCTTAAGGTAACAGGGTTAGGAAATGGTAGAGTTGGGATTTGAAGATAAGCATTTCTGCTCTAAAAATCCCTATACTTAAAAAAAAAAAAATTCTTGCCGAGACCGGTTTGGCTCATTGGATAGAGCGTCGGCTTGGGGACTGAAGGGTCCCGGGTTCGATTCCGGTCAAGGGCATGTACCTTGGTTGTGGGCATATCCCCAGTAGGGGGTGTGCAAGAGGCAGCTGATCGATGACTCTCTCTCATCGATGTTTCTAACTCTCTATCTCTCTCCCTTCCTCTCTGTACAAAATCAATAAAATATATTTTTAAAAAAATTCTTTATTGATATCAGAGAGGAAGGAAGACATAAAGATAGAAACATCAATGATGGGAGAGAATCATTGATTGGCTGGCTCCTGCATGCCCCACACTGGGGATCAAGCATACAACCCAGGCTGGTGCCTTTGGCCAGAATTGAACCTGGGACCCTTCAGTCCGCAGACCGATGCTCTGTCTACTGAGTCAAAAAGTATAGGGTCAAAAATCCCTATACTAAACCTCCATATTGACAATGAAAATCAAAATTAAGAAATCTTTTTTATAGGACAATGTGGAAATACATATTAGTCTTAAAGTATTGAATGCTGATAATATGGGAAACAAGTGGAATGAAGAAACATGTTTGTATCAACCTATAAAAAATAGACATACACGTCAAGTAGACAGACAAAACATTTCATAAAAAATGTTAAGTGACTTGTTCTTTGTATTTTTTAAAGTTTCAGGTTTTTACAATGAACATTTACAATATAATGTTCTAATTAGAACAAAGTATTTTTCTAACTAAAAAATCTATAAGGAAAAATAAAAATTTAAGGAAAGATACTTGTCATAATTAAATGTAATGCAATTATCCTGTTTTATAGATTATAAAGTCAGTGGTGACAAAGGGTCCTCTTATGGTGATGGAAAGCTAGATTCAACAACAAAATGGGAACATATGCTAGTCACTATAGGTCTGATTTGATCTGAATATGCCATATTTTTCTCTCCATGCAAGTTTGGAAGAGGGATTTCTTTGCCAAAAGAGCCTCTTTGATAGAGTAATGCTTAAGTCTTTTCCTTCACAAAATAATTTACCAGAGTAACAATTCCTGTAAATAATACAACAAAGGAAGATGTGTTGTTCCAATTGTTGTTAAATGCATTATTAATTCTTCTTAGCCTCATGAAATGATGATACATAAGTCAACTTTTTTTTAATGAGTGTATTCGTTTTTTTGTGTTTAAAAAAAAAATATTTCACTGAGTTTTCACAGAGAGGAAGGGAGAGAGATAGAGAGCTAGAAACATCGATGAAAGAGGTACATCGACCAGCTGCTTCCTGCACACTCCCTACTGGGGATGTGCCCGCAAATAATGTACATGCCCTTGACCGGAATCAAACCTGGGACCCCTCAATCCACAGGCTGACACAGTAACCAATGAGCCAAACCGGTTTCGGCACATAAATCAACTTTAACCTTTCTTGTTGCTTCCTAGTGTGCTATAATTCTATGATGCATCAGGGTTGTTATTGAGGTCTACCGTGTTGTGCTTCTCTGTTTTTCAGTGATTCTCTCCTTCCTTCCTCATTAGTCTTATTGGGGGAGGGGGGGAAGGTTGTATTTCTTGTGTCCAAAGTTAACTATTCCACCCACACCTGATTTTTCCACTGCTTCCTTTGGGATAGAATTCCCTCATAACTAAATCCTTTATCTTAAAAAATATATAGAGAGATTTTTCTACTTTCATAAACTCATAGAACTTTATCCTACAGCTGATATTTGGCCCTTGCTCTATTTTCTTCATAAAGAGTATTATCTCCAAGCTATAAACTCCTTCTTAAGAGCAGTGATTGACTGTGGTAGTTCTTTCCTATTAGCACCAGTATAGCACTGACAATAAAGAAAATGTACAATGAAAATTTAATTATTTCTCAAATTTAACCATAAGCTCACAAATATAATAAAAACTTTAGAAGTCATGAGCCTTCTTGTTCTGATTACTCTGTAAGGAGAAACTGGTTTGACTGGATATAAACTATCTGCATATACTCTAAACCCAAACTATCTGCATATACTCTGAACATGTGATTCAATAGCTATCAGTATTATCTCCCCCAGATCTTCCTCCCCTCCCCACTGTAATTTGACAGTCTGCCTGTTGCTTTACTTTCTCTATCTCTGTCTCTTGGTTCATCAGTTCATAAAGAGCTGAAACAAAATGTGTCATTCTTTTTAAAATATATATATATTTCTATTGATTTCAGAGAGGGAGAGATAGAAACACCATGATGACAGAGAATCATTGATCAGCTGCCTCCTGCACACCCCACAGTAGGAATCGAGCCCACAACCCAGGCATGTGCCCTTGTCCAGAATTGAACCCAGGACCCCTCATTCCGCAGGCCAATGCTCTATCCACTGAACCAAACCAGCTAGGGCTGCACGTTATTCTTATGAGAAGGTAGGTAATCCAGAGGGAGAGATCAAAACAATAAAAAGCACCGCTGTCAAAAACCATGCAACTAAGAAATATTTTATTAAGCTCACTACTTTATTATCCCATTCTGTGATGGGATATGAAGGTAGTAATTATTGAATTTATAACCAGTTGGAGAGAAAAAGATGAACATACATAGGTTAGAAAAATATATTAACCACAAATTCTAAATTCTGTGATAACTCTTGATGATTAATATTAGTATTTTAAAATCATATTGTTTATAAACTAAGTTTCAGTTCTTCCTCTACCTATATCTTAATGGTAGGGGAGAAATGAGTCAGAGAAAAGATGAAACAAAGAACACAGAGAAGTAGCTTGTAAATACAAGTTGTCTTTCCTCTCACCTGTCTTCTTATGTGAAAGGAAAACAAAGATCCTATGGCTCCCACACTTAGCTTCTTGTGTTTACTAGGAGAAAAAATATACTCACGAGCGTATCTGGGGTAGGTCTGTTTCTATTTTGTGGCCTGTATTTCTAAATATTTGTATAGCAGCTTCAGCTACTTTGTCATCTTCCATTCGGAGGCACTGTAACAGGGACTCATATGTCTCTGCAGAGTGGAACGAGGTAGGATGTGTGAAAGACAGAACCTGGAGGAACAGATATAGCTTTAGAAGTATAGACAATGATTTTAATCCATTAAAAGAAGATAACTATAAATATAATTTAATATTATGGGCTGCACAAGCTGGCTACACAGAATTAGGATTTATATCTAGTAGTTAGGCATGGCAGAAATATTGCAAAGTAGATTCCTTAAGACAGCTGATATCTGGCCCTTGCCCTATTTTCTTCTTATCTTAGAGTCTATTCTGATACTGGGAATGTAGAAAATGTGGCTCCTCTTTCATAGGGTATGATGTTATGATGTGAACAAAATGCTAATCAAGAGCTTTATTATTCAAAATATATTTTATAGATTTCTTACAGAGAGGAAGAGAGAGGGATAGAGAGTTAAAAACATCAGTTGCCTCCTGCACACTCCCTACTGGGTATGTGCCCTCAACCAAGATACATGCCCTTGACCAGAATTGAACCTGGGACCCTTGAGTCTGCAGGCCAACGCTCTATCCACTGAGCCTAAACCAGTTAGGGCACCAAGAGCTTTATTTCATGGCAAAAGATACTCTATAAGAAAATATTTTTTATTTTTTTATTTTTTAAAATTATATTTTATTGATTTTTTACAGAGAGGAAGAGAGAGGGATAGAGAGTTAGAAACATCAATGAAAGAGAAACATCAATCAGCTGCCTCTTGCACACCCCAAACTGGGGATGGGCCCACAACCAAGGTACATGCCCTTGACTGGAATCGAACCCGGGGACCCTTCAGTCCGCAGGCCGACGCTCTAACCACTGAGCAAATATTTTAAGTGAAATCCATCACAAAAAGTTCACTCATCACAACTATAAACAAGCCATTATTGATCGTCCACAGGTCGATGCTGTATCCACTGAGCCTAACCAGCTAAGGTGATTATTGATAACTTTTAATCGTGACTACAAACATATTAATTATTCCCTATTTATTATATTAATACCTAACTTCCAGCCTATCCTTAAGGACTTTACAGCAAGTTAGACATGTCTACAAAGTTACATGTTATGGAAACAATTTAGTTAGTATAATATTGGAAACTAGAGGCCCAGTGTATGAAATTTGTGCACGGGGTATGTATGTGCCTCAGCCCAGCCTTCACCCTCTCCAATCTGGGACATCCCTCTCACAATCCAGGACTACTGGATCCCAACTGCTATCCTGCCTGCCTGCCTGATTGCCCCTAACCGCTTCGTCCTGCCAGCCTGATCACCACCTATTCATGCCCCTGCCAGCCTGACTGATGCCTAACTGCTCCCCTGCCAGTCCAATTGCCCTAACTGCTCTACCCTGCAGGCCTCCAAATGACCTCCCTTGCAGGCCTGGCCTCTCCTAACTGCCCTCTTCTACCAGCCATCTTGTGGCGGCCATCTTGTTAGTTGGAATAACAGTCAATTTGCATATTACTCTTTTATTAGATAGGATAAGTGTTAAAGTTGAGAGGCAGGGAGATGGGAGAATATATAGTCTTTAGTAAGTTATACAATAATCATTTATTTAATAGGCAATAAAGTGGAGAGATTGTCTATTTGATGGGACTTACAGTGATAATATTTAGTTATGAGCTTTTAATAACTCATAGAAAAATGGAGAATCAAATTTAAAAAATCAAATCAGCCGACACGGGTTTGGCTCAGTGGATAGAGCGTCGGCCTGCGGACTGGAGGGTTCCGAGTTTGATTCCGGTCAAGGGCATGTACATTGGTTGCGGGCACATCCCCGGTAGGGGGTGTGCAGGAGGCAGCTGATCGATGATTCTCTCTCATCTATGTTTCTAACTTTCTGTCCCTCTCTCTTCCTCTCTTAAAAAATCAATAAAATATATTTTTAAAAAAAGAAAAAAGAAAAATCAAATCAAACAATCTATGTTCTAATGTCTTTGGTTTGTCTCTTCTCCCCTTAATTTGGATGCTATCTTTGGGCATCCTCCCATGTACCGAAATGTTGGTTTGATTCAAGGCACATGCCCAAGTTGTGGGCGTAGGAGGCAGCTGAGCAATGTTTTGCTCTCTCCTTGATGTTTCTCTCCTTTCCCCTCTCTCTATAAAAAAAAAATCAATTAAAAAAAATAAAACACGTCTATCTTATAGATGATTTTACTCTTAAAACTATTTAAAAAATATAACCCTATTATAAAAAGTATAATTAAAACATTTCTCATGAAGCAGCATATCAATTCTTTCCATGATATAATATTTAAGACCATTCCAATAAAACCTTTTTTCTTTTTTAATTTTCACCCAAGGATCTTTTTCCATTGATTTTTAGGGAGAGAGGAAGGAGAGAGGGAAAAAGAAACATCAATGTGAGAGAAACATTAATTGGTTGCCTCCTGCATAAACCACAACAGGGCCTGGGCCAGGGAGAAGCCCGCAACCAAGGTACCTGCCCTTGACCATAATTGAACCTGGGACCTTTTGGTCCACAGGCCGACATTCTCTCCACTGAGCCAAACTGGCGAAGGCACAGCCCTCTTTTCTAATGTCCATCAATTGCACTGATTTGTATCTTTTCCCTTAGGTTACATGTTGTAGTGGTCTAAATGTTTCATTGACTTCAATTTCTTCTCTTTACTCCATCCAATAAAAGCTCTATCAAATGTTGATATATTAAAAGCAAGGTTAAAAGTCCCAATAAGCCCGACCGGTGTGTCTCAGTGGTTAATCATCATCAACCTATGAACCAGGAGGTCATGGTTCAATTCCCAGTTGGGCTTATGCCCAAGTTGTGGGCTCAATCCCCAGTGTGGGGCATGCAGGAGGCTGATCAATGATGGTTCTCTCTCATCACTGAAGTTTCTATCTCTCTTTCCCTCTCCCTTCCTCTCTGAAATCAATAAAAAAAAAAATTATATATATATATATATACACACACACACACACACACACATATATACACACACACACATATATATATATGTATGTATATATATATATATAAAAGAAGAAAAACAAAACCAACGAAGAAAAAAGCCCTGATAATATCTTTCTGCATCAATGGCACTCCAAAATCTAGAACCAATCTGTCTCCCATTACACCCCAAAGCAATCCTTTTCTCTAGTCAGACTAGGGTACTAATGATCCCTAAAATATGCCAAAAATTATTCTCTTTGATGATGATGTTTTTTCCTAGATTAAGTCATATCTTTTCTACTAAGTCTTGCCTGACCTTACTAATTGGCTCGATTCTCTGAAGATTTTGGCATCTATTATAATTACCGATTGTTTAAAAATTCCCTGATCAGACATATGTTGTCATATAATATTCCCATGAGCAAATCTACTCCAGATGCAGGTTCTTTAAAAGATACTACATCATTTAACATATATGAGTACTGTTATAAGTACAGTAGACATGCAAATGATCCACTGATGCTTGCCTCCTGCATGCACCCTAACCAGGGCAGGGATTGAGCCTGCAACCGAGGTATGTCCTTGACTAGAAATGAAACCATGGCCCTTCAGTTTACAGACCAATGCTCTAACCACTGAGGCTAGAGCCCAAAAATGTTATTTTATAATGTAAAACAATTACATTATTATAAATGTAAAAAATAATCCTATCTAACAAAGAGGGAATATGCTAATTGACCACCACACCCTTGCAAGATGGTGGCACCCACAGCCAATAAAGAGGAATATGCTAGTTGACTGCCAACTCTTACAAGATGGCGGTGGCCAAGTTCCCTCAGGCCCGCCTCATACAGCTGGAGTCCTCTAGTCTCCTCAGTCCCGTAGGAGAAGGAAGTTGGGGGCAATTGGGCTGGCAGGGGAGGGGCAATTGGGGACTATCATGCTGGCAGGCAGAAGTGGGTTATGGGTAAGCAGGCAGGCTGACAGGCAAGTGGTTAGGAGCCAGCAGTCCCAGATTGTGAAAGGATCTTGAGATTGGAGAGGGTACAGGCTGGGCTGAGGACCACCCCGCCCCACAAATTTTGTGCACTGAGCCTCTAGTCTTATATAATAAATAGGTAATATGCAAATTAACGCTTACAAAATGGCTGCCTACGACCAGGCTGACAGAGAGTTTAGTGAAGGATGACCAAATGACTTAACAAGCAGACTGCATGGGTGACCAGGCTGGCAGGGGGGCCCATGAAGGGCAACCAAGCTGGTGGGGGGAGGGGTAAGAAGGGGTAGCTGTTGAGGGCTAACAGGCCAGCAGGGGGTGGGAAACAGCTGGGGGGCGACCAGGTCAGCGGTGGAGGGATGGGGGGGGGGCAGTAAGAAGTGACCAGGTCAGTGAGGGGAGCAGGACAGTGAGAGGCAACCAGGCCGGTAGCAAGGGATAGTTAAGGACGTCCAGACAGGTAGGTGAATGATTAGGAGCCAGCGGTCCAGGATTGTGAGAGGGATGTCTGGTAGTGAAACATCCCCTAAAGGATCCGGGATTGGAGAGGGTGCAGGCTGGGCTGAGGGGACACCTCCCCGGCTCCATGCATGAATTTCATGCACCAGGCCTCTAGAATTTTTATAGAATATGATCACTGCAAAAAGTTTAAATCTTTTGAATAGTTTCTAATGAAATATGGCCTAACTCTAGCATATCCTTAATATAATTCAAATTTTGATTCTTTGTGGAATTTAATGAACAATATAAACCTATGAACAAAACGGAACTAGAATCATGGACACATGGAACAGACAGGAAAGAGCCAGAAGGGAGGTAGGTGAAAGTGTCTGGATAAAGAAGCTGAAGGGATTAGCTAAAGAACATATACATGCATATCCCATGGACATGGAAAATAGTGTGGCGAAGGTTAACAGAGGGGCAGATAGGGATAGGTAGAGGTGGGGGATCTGTAATAATGTCAACATAAAAAGTTTTTAATAAAAAAATAGTGATTACTGAAATTCCGAAGACAAAATTGTTTCAAAAATACCTTAAGAAGTTCAAGTCCTGAACGAATAGCTGTATCTGGACTTACACCCTCCTCTTCATCATCTGCTGTCCCCTCTATTGATTTGTTCATCAGTTTTACCAGTGCACTATTAAAACAAGAAAATCTAAATTAGTAATACCATGGTATACAATTTATCCACTAGAAAAATACTAGTAATTAGTGCAAGAGGAAAGTACTCACAAAAGTATAACAGGAAATCATTAGAAACTGAAATGTAGGAAATTATGGGAGTAGTTAATAAAAAACAGCTATCAGTTATGCCAGGGTCCTTATTTTTGTTTGGTTTTGTTTTGTTAATCCTCACCTGAGGATATGTTTTTCCCATTGATTTTCAGAAGTGGAAAGGGAGGGGGAGAAACAAAGAGACAGAAACATCAATGAGAAAGACACATTGAATGGTTGCCTTCTGCCTGAGCCCTGGGCTGGGGATCAAGCCTGCAAATGAGATGCCCGCCTTTGACTGGAATTGAACCTGTGACCCTTCAGTCCTCTGGCCAAAGCTCTAACCACTAAGCAAAACCAGTCAGGGACAGGTTCCTTACTTTTTATATGTTATCGCTAAATCTCACAATCATCCAAAGTAGATATTACACCCACACTAAGGTAAAAAAATAAGTTAAAAACTCAGATAAATTAGAGGGCTTTTTCCAAAGTCACAAAGCAATATGAAATAGGTTTTGAAACCAGAGTAGTCTGATGGTAATCTTGTGCTCTTTTCAAAACATTATTCTGTTTTCACATACTTCAAGTGAGTAGTGATATATTATACATACTAGAATAGAATATCATGTAATCATTAAAATGGATAAAAACACACACACACACACACACACACACACAAAAAAAAAAAACAACAACCAAAGATAACTCTGGCCAACTGGCTCAGTTGGTTGGAGTACTGTCTTATATACCAAATAATTGTGGATTGGATTCTTGGTCAGGGGGAATATAGGAGGCAACCAATCAATGTTTTTCTCCCCCGCAATTCATTCTCTCTCTCAAAAACAGTAAAAATATAAACTTGGTGAAGACTAATAGTGTCTCTGACTCCAAGTTTTGTTCTTCCAGAAACTTCTAAAGATTTCTTTGTTGTTGTTGTTTTTATCTGCTTAAATATATAGAAGTTACCGATGTTTATATAGTAAAATCTGTGATTCTTTTGTGTTTTGGCTTTTGGTGCTTTAAGATTTCATTCTTGCCGAAACCGGTTTGGCGCAGTGGATAGAGCGTCGGCCTCTGGACTGAAAGGTCCCGGGTTCGATTCTGGTCAAGGGCATGTACTTTGGTTGCGGGCACATCCCCAGTAGGGGGTGTGCAAGAAGCAGCTGATTGATGATTCTCTCTCATCGATGTTTCTAACTCTCTATCCCTCTCTCTTCCTCTCTGTGAAAAATCAATAAAATATACATTAAAAAAAAATTTCAGCCAGGACCGGTTTGGCTCAATGGATAGAGCGTTGGCTTGGGGACTGAAGGGACTCGGGTTCAATTCCGGTCAAGGGCATGTACCTTGGTTGCGGGCATATCCCCAGTAGGGGGTGTGCAGGAGGCAGCTGATCGATGACTCTCTCTCTCATCGATGTTTCTAACTCTCTATCTCTCTCCCTTCCTCTCTGCACAAAATCAATAAAATATATTTTTTAAAAAAATTTAATTCTTTAAATTAAAAAAAGAAAACTCAAAGACTGATTGACAGTCTACAGATTTAAATTTTCTTCTCTGTTCTTATGTTCTAGGTTTTATTTAATGAGCACATATAAACTAAAAATAAACACAGGAACTGTTAAAAAATAAAAAAGCATTGTAGTAAGCCTAAGACTGGAAAATAAACAGGTCCTTCTTTCAACCTGTATGATGTTCTTTATGCTTCCATTAGAAAGGTATAAGGGAACATTTTCAGGTCTACTTAGGATCCAAGAATTTAAATTTACAACACTAATTTCAGATTACATTTTATTTTGAATAAATATATTTCCTAGCTTACCTTATGGCTTCAGAATCAATATGCACAGGTGCAATTCTTTCCAATAGAAATTTAACCATCTCTAAAAAAGGATTTGTTGGCTGTTTAGGATTTGCAAGTTTCCGAGCTATTTCTCTCTAAAAAAGCAAAGAGTTTTATCCTAAGTATGATTCACTTTCATGTTTTTCAAAATAAATATGATTATAGGCATCAAAACATTTAAAGATTCAAAACCAGCAGGCGTAAAGTAAAACATACACATACACACAAACTTCTGCTTTAGACTCTGACTGAAATTACATACTTCCTAGGCAACCATTGCAAAATCTGAACTGTGGAGAACAAAAAGGAAATAATATGGTGTGATTTATGCTTTGTCTCAGATTTCTCCCATAAAATTTTTGTTTAATAAACAATTTTTTAATGCTTTACTTTTGAAAAAATAAAACAAAACAATGTATACTTTCATAGATAAGTTTTTTGGTTTATTTCATAATTTGACAGAATAATGTGTTTTAGGTTAGTAATTTGTTTTTTTAAAAAGAGAAAGATTCATAAGTGTATAAATATAAAGATTTTCAGTTTTTGATAAACAGCTGATTTAAAGATAGTGGCAATACATCAAATAGAAAATCAAAAAAAAAGAAAAAGAAAAAAAAAGACATTGCTGTAAATGTCTAAATGCATCACTTCATGATTATAGAGAATTAACAACTTAAAGGCAAGGTCAAAGTTATAACATATGGGCACTGGAAAAAAAAAATCTATTCTAATGACAAGGCTTTTAATTGAGTATCTGAAGAGTAATTGTAAATTTTAGTTGAGCAGATAAACACATTAAGTGTGTTCGAACTATAAAGCAATAACTCTATAAGCTTATTCTAATGTAGAGCTCTTTTAAGATTATAGTTGACATACAATAATATATTAGATTCAGGTGTACAATACAGTGATTTGACTTTCATATACCTTAAGAAATGATCACCATGAATCTAGTAATCATCTGTATAGTCATTGGGATATTACTGATTGTATTCCCTATAATGTACTTTACATCCACACTATCTATAAGTTCGTATCTCACAATTCCTTTACCTTTTTGCCCATCTACGCCCATCCCAACTTTGTGGTAACTATCAGTTTCTCGTCTGTATCTATGAATCTATTTTGTTTTATTTGTTAATTTGTTTACTTTTTTATATTCTGTGCCAGAGGCCCAGTGCACAAAATTCATGCATTTGGGGTGTAGGGTAGGTAGCCTTCAGTCTGGCCTATGCCCTCTCTTAGTCCGGAAGCCCTCAGGGGATGTAAGCCCAGCTTCTGGCTCAGCGGTGCTCCCCCAGTGGGAGTTAACTGACCACCAGGGGACAGCTCCAGTACTGAATATCTGCCCCTGGTGGTCAGTGTGCATCACAATGAACAGTTAATTTGCATATTAGCCTTTTTATTATATAGGACTAGAAGCCCGGTGCATGAAATTAATGCATGGGTCTTTGGGAGGGTCCGTCAGCCCAGCCTGCACCTTCCCCAATCCGGGACTCGTCGGGGGATGTCCGACTTCTGACATCCCTCTCACAATCCAGGACCACTGGCTCCTAACCGCTCACCTTCCTACTTAATCACTCTGCCTGCCTGCCTGATTGCCCTAACTGCACTCCCCTGCCTGCTTGATCACCATAACTGCTCTCCCCTGCTGGCCTGATCACCCCTAACTGCCTATGTCTCAGCCCCAACACTGTGGCTTTGTCCAAAAGGTCGTCTGGAAGATGTCCGATCTAATTAGTATATTATTCTTTTATTAGTATAGATACAAGTGAAACAATACAGGTTTGTCTTTTTCTTACTTATTCCACTTAGCATCCATGTTGTCACAAAGGGCATGATTCATTCTTTTTCATGACTGATTAATATTCCACTGTGTGTATAACTTTCTTTATCCATTCATCTATCAATGGACAACTAGGTTGCTTCCATACAATCATGGTTATATAAAATATAACTATGTATATAAACCATACTAGAAATAATTATTGGTCATTTTATTTTATTTATTTAAAAAATATATTTATTTATTTTTTATAGAGAAGGGAGAGGGATAGAGTTAGAAACATCGATGAGAGAAACATCGACCAGCTGCCTCCTGCACACCCCCTACCAAGGATGAGCCCACAACCAATGTACATGTCCTTGATCAGAATCGAACTTGGGACCCGTCAGTCCCCAGACCAACACTCTATCTACTAAGCCAAACAAGTTTTGGCTATTGGTCATTTTAGATCCACTTAGATATCCTGTAACCCTAGATTGAATAAAAAAAACACCTACTCCATGTTCTCAAACAACTTTGTAAACATATATTATAGTTCTTACACCCTATAAGGTGTAAGAACTATAATATATGTTTACAAAGTTTAAATAATTATCCCATCCTTATTTTTTTAGAACAAAGATAGACATAAATAACTAAATTTTTCTTTCTCCTTTTCCTCTATTAAGGATTGGTCCCATACATAGTAGTTGTTATCAATGTGCAATACCATAGAAATACAATTTACATAAAACCTAAAGGGTAGTATGGGTATATCCTTTCTAATAAAGAGGGAATATACTAATTGACTGTCATGCTGTTTCAAAGATGGTGACATCCACAGCCAACAAGGAGGGAATATGCTGACTGCCATGCCCTCAAAGATGGTGGCACCCACAGCCACAAGATGGCGACACCTAATCCCCTCAGTTCCACTGGGGCACCTGCCTCCGGAGACCCCCAGCTCCCCCAGCCACCCAGGGCCACTTGAGGCTCAGGTAACCAGGACTGGCTGAGGCTTGTGCTGCTGGCAGTGGCAGCAGCAGAGGTGAGATGGAGTTGCTTTCCACCCCTTACGGCATTATTTTGCGAAGAGATTATCCTATATAATAAAAAGTTGTTATGCAAATTGACCACCATACCCTCACAAAGATGGCTGGCTACTACCAGGCTGCCAGGGGGGGGTTAGTGAGGGACGACCAAACAACTGAACAGCAGGCTGCATGGGGTGACCAGGCTGGTGGGGAGTGCAGTTGGGGTTGACCAGATGGAGGAGGGGGATGTGGGGGAGAAGCAGACAGTTAGGGCCAACCAGAAGTTGGTTGCCCCTAACTGCTTAAACCAGAGAAGTTAGACATCCCCTAGGGGTCCCAGATTGGAAAGGGTTCAGGCTGGGCTAAGGGGACCTGCCCCTGTGCACCAATTTTGTGCACTGGGCCTCTAGAGTGTGTGTGTGTGTGTATAAAACAAATCTAACAATCCTATAAAGAAGTTAAAATTTACAGATGAGGCCAAAACCAGTTTGGTTCAGTGGATAGAGCATCAGTATGAGGACTGGAGAGTCCCAAGTTCAATCTGGTCAAGGGCATATACCTTGGTTGTGGGCACATCCCCAGTGGGGATTGTGCAGGAGGCAGCTGGTCGATGTTTCTCTCTCATCAATGTTTCTAGCTCTCTATCCTTCTCCTTTCCTCTCTGCAAAAAATTAATAAAATATATATTTTTAAAAAAATTTACAGATGAGAAAAATGAGGCTCACTTGGCCAGCATCTCTCATAAAATGCTAAATAAATGAATGAATAAAGTTTTCAATGATACTGATTTTCTATAAAATAGAGTCCAAGAATAGAATGAAGACAGAAGCTTAAATAGGAATTACCTTATCTATAAATACATATAAGCAAGGTAACTATTGCTGATTTCTTGACAAGGTATCTCCTTGCTAATATATGGTAGAAGAAAATGTATGCACGAAGAAGCATTTAGAAAATTCTTATTTACTTAATGCCTACTAAATACAAAGCATTTTATCTTGCTCACTTCCTAGGACTAATCTCCCTGGCTTAGTTCTCTAGTGTTTTTCCTGGAATTTGGCTGAGGAGTGGTAAGTAAAGAGAACTAAGCTGACCACAGATATATGTCCTAGGTAATTCAGAGCTCACAATAATGGTAAACTCACACAACTAAAATAAGCTCACAATAATGGTAAACTCACACAACTAAAATAAACAAAGTTAGAAGAACAAATAAATATAAAAGTATAATTTACTAACCACACAAACATCTGCCTGTTTACATGAACAGGTTGGGCTGATTAATAACTCCAACTGAGACCGCAGTTTCTCATCATCACCGAGAACCTGGTTAAATTTCTTCACAAAATCTTGTGCTTTCCCAGGGTCAGGCAAATTCTCTACAAAATTAAAAGAACATCAATAATACATTTAAAAAAAACCCTACTCTATTAAACTAAAAGTTGTCTTAAAAATAATGCTGAGTGCCCTCAGGTGTCGCTCAGTGGTTGAGCATCAACCCAGGAACCAAATGGTTCCATTCCTGGTCAGGGCACATTCCGAGGTTTCAGGCTTGATACCTAGGAGGGGGCATGCCGGAGGCAATCAATTGATGAAGTTTCTCTCTCATCAATGTTTCTATATCTCTATGCCTCCATCTCTTGAGCCAGCAAGAGAATATCAGTCTAACTGGTACTTCGAAATAAAAGTACTAAGGACTTAAAGGATAACTTTTCCTTATTTAAATGGATAGTCCCACTGGGTAAATTGTCTGTTTTGACGTTTTTTATATATCTACAAAGCGAATAAACATACTCACTTGCTATGGTCATCAGTTTTCCAAACATGGCAGAACAGTTTGTCTCTGACTGAAATTTAAAACAAAAACAAAAGACGTGATATGTGCTATTAAATTTCTGAAAGAAAATCTATGCTTAGGGTTGTATTTTTAAGTCAAAAGTATTACATATTTAGTATTATCATATCTACAGCCTAAGTTGATAAAAAAAAAATTGTGTACTAATAACAGTTATTAAGTTAGAACAAATAGAAGGAAAGGTAATGTCAGTAGGAACAGGTATTTAAAAATTTAGAGTATATAATTTTCATAGGAAAATTATCTTGCCAGAAGTTTGAACAGGATAACTTTGATATAAAGCAATTACATGGAAATTATTATGAAACCATACACCAAAGAAAATTAATAATGTGAAGATTAGAATTGTTTTCCTCCTGAATAGAATTCTATTAGCTTTTATGTGGCCTATTACTTAAATAACATCAGAAAACCCCCTCCTCTAAAATGTGTCCCTTTCCTCCATTACAAAAAAGATAACTTAAATTTGTATGAAACTTGAGTAATTTGGATCAGAAATTGGTAAACTATGGTTCCATGGGTCACCTGTTTTTGCTAAAAGTTTTGCTGGAACACAATCATGACCATTTATTTACATATTGCATATTTACATTTTACATATTGCAGAGAACTTTTTTTGTATTACGAAGGTAGAGTTGAGAGTTCACCACCGAGAGAATAGTTGGCAAAGCCCAAATTAATAACATGTATTCTAGCCTGGCTAGTGTGATTCAGTGATTGAGTGTCAACCTATGAACCAGGTCATGGTTCAATTCCAGGTCAGGGAACATGCCTGAGTTGAGGGGCATGCAGGAGGCAGCCAATTAATAATTCTCTCTCATCACTGATATTTCTATTTCTCTCCCTCTTCTGCCTCTCTGAAATAAATTTTAAAATATATCTTTAAAAACAACATGTATTCTAGCAAACACATTTAGAAGTATATTAAGAGATCATTAAGTTTCTTTACTCCACCTTCCAGAAAATGTTGAATAGAATTTCTTTTGTTAATTTGAATTTGGCATATTTATAGGATACCTGATTTGACACTAACTCTCCATTGAAGGACCAGAAATCATGGATTAAAAAGATGATTACTTCTAATATAATTTTATCTTGAGGTTTAATTTTAATTTGCATTATGATAAATTATGTATGATATATTAGTGTTTAAATATTTGATAAAAGAGAAAACACTATTTCTTTTCTTGTGTTGGAAAATAAGATTTTCTTATACTAATTTGAAATGGAAATTTTACTTGGATATCTACAGAAATTCTGTTTAACTGACATTTGGTAAATAGAACAATTGAGATACTTCCTATTTGCTTCATTATATATAACCAAAGAAAATCTGAACAATGACTGTAATAATGAATTTAACAAATCATGAACTTACTGTAGGCTGCTTGTGCAAATCCAAGAGTTCTCGTACATGACTTCTAAGCATGTTCTGACATTTCCACATTTCATTTAGAGCTCTGTAAATAAAGTCATAAATATGAAAAAATGCATAATATTACAATACTGATAAGTATTTAACTTCATTACTTTTTGAAAAATATATTTTATTGATTTTTAACAGAGAGGAAGAGGGACAGAGAGTTAGAAACATCGATGAAGAGAATCATCGATTAGCTGCCTCTTGCACAGTCCCCACCGGGGATGTGCTCGCAACCAAGGTACATGCCCTTGACCGGAATCGAACCCGGGATCTTTCAGTCCCCAGGCCGACACTCTATCCACTGTGCCAAACCAGTCTCGGCTAACTTCATTACTTTTTGTGTTGCATGATATATATGCATCATTCTTCTATATCTACCTAATATTTTAAGCACCAGAAAATGTAATTATTACTATTAAGATAGTTTAATGTAAAATGGTAAATATAAGGCTTCTTATGAGAGAAAATATAGGATAAATAGCATCTGACAGGTAACTGAAGGAATTGAAAGACATTCTAAACAGAAATAGCTAGAATGTTCTGGTATAAAAAATTATAAAATATTATTAAAATGCATGGCATATACTTCGGAAAAGGATGAGATGATGAAGGCCTTTTTATGCCAAGCTAAGGGGATATGCATAAAGGTCAGTAGACTATTTCAAACTATGAATTTGTCCGAAATGATATAGATTGAGATGCCACACTTAAAATGGTGTTGATTCAGAATTCTTTTCTCTCAATGAAACAAATTTTCTTCTCTTATAAACCCACTCCATAATTCCAGAGGATCTCAGAAATTAGTCTAATTCTAGGTATCCTTTGCCAAATATTCTGAAATATAAACAGACCAAACTTTAGTTCAGGGTTTTACTACCTATATTTTTAGGATCCACTTGCAAATCTTTTAGAAAAGATAATGCCTCCAAACTTGATGCATTGAGAATATAATGTTAACTCTGTAATTTCTGGTGAAAAAACCATAATCTCAATCTAATAAATACCAAACGAACCCAAATTGAAATTGAGGGAACAATCTACAAAATTAGTGGCATGCTCAATATTCTTCCAAAACCCATCAAAGTCATAACAAAGACCAAAGAAATCATTCCATATTAAGAGACTAGAGATATGAAAACCAACTATGCAATATGTAAACCTACAATGAGAAAATAAATATCTATAAAGAATATTATTTGGACAATGGAAGAAATCTGAATGAATATATATTGAATTAGAAAATAATAGTGTATCAATGTTAAACCTCTTGATTTTTGATAAGGGTATTCTGCTTATATAAGAGGATACCCTTGTTCTTTGGGGATATAGACTGAAGCACTTAGGGATAAAGGAATCTAATGTCTTCAAATTACTCCAAATGGTTCAGAAGAAATATGTATATGGACATTCTACATAGAGGTGATTTGAATATACCTGCCTGACAAAGAACCAGTCTGAGGCTTAGTATGGTAAAGCTCCAACACTGTGATTCACACCTTAGTCAACAAGTAGACAATAGGTAATTTTGACACAAGGACTTAATTGAATCCCTGAAACCATATTACTGACTCAGTTGCCAAATATGCCTATCCATATAGGCATATTCTTGTTTTTGACTAAACCTGAACCTATAAAAATTTTCTTTCTATATATTTATCTGAGGTTCTTGATTCAACCAGAAGCAATAACCCCATCATGAACAATTAATTAGATAAAGTGATTTTATGAAATTTTCAGGAAATAATCCAAACAATCATTAAAAAGTAACTTACTTGACAGCATTTGGATCCAAACTAGCATATAAATAATATAAGCATTTCATTCTCTCTTCTGTTTCCAGATTGTGGGGGACAAGATACTGAGCAAAGATTTTTTCTACCAACAGCCTATGAAACAAACAAACAACTAATAACACAATTATTCTACTTTTTAGAGATTTTTCTCTATAGTCTATGAAACAAACAAACAAAAACCCTCCCAGATAACACTGTTGTTTTTTAAAAATAGTCATTTTGTATAAGAACCACAAACTACAAAGATAACATACCAAGGGTAGCATGTATGTGTGTAAATACAATGAAAATGATCAGTGTGTGATCAGTTCTTTTCCCTGGAGATAGTTGTTTTTTTGTTTTGTTTTGTTTTGTTTTAACATTTAGAGCTATGCTAGCTATTTGTGGCTTTAATTTCTAATTTGTCAGTATGAAATAGATGTTCTAAAAGGGTGGTATGTCAATCCTAAGCACAGATTGCGAGGGTACTAGGTTACTATTCTTCCAATAGTCTAGAGTTATAACAAATTACTTAATACTAATATATAAAAATATGATCTCAAGAATGGCTTATTAAAAAAAAAAAACCCTACCAAAACCCCACATTAATTTTCTTTGATTACAGTTCAGCTCCTTTCTCATGTTGTCATTTAAAAAAGAAGGAAAAGGGGGAAAAAAAGGAAAAATCAGGGGGGTTCTACCTTCATACTATTTCCTAAAAATTTAATTTTTCCTGTATACATTTGATATTTCTTCTTCCCATGGTCTTGCTAAGCTTATATTTATTATTCAATATCATTGAAATAAGAGAATACAAATGCTCTTCCTTAATCAATAAAATACATATCCAGCAATGCATAGTAAATTTAATTCAATAACACATTACCAACTATTTTACAAAAACCAAAATCATTATTACAATCCAGTATAAAATAATACTAGGTAAGTAACATTCAGACAATAAAAATGACAAAAGGCCTCATCATGTGAAAAAAAATTATAACCACACTTACTGTGGCAATCATTTCTCAATATATACAAAGATGAAACCACTACTGGCATATTATATATAATTATGTCAATTACACTGAAACAAAAAAACAACACAGTAATGCTCCTATTGATACTTACGGTGTTATAAAAAGGGAAAATAATAATAATTATTAAATAGTGCTGTATTGCCAGGCATAGGGGGGCTTTACATTCATTATTTTCTTTGATTAACATGACAATTCTTTAAGGAGGCTTTATTATTATTCCTTTTTAGATAAAACTGAAGTGCACAGAAATTGTCAGATGTGCAAGATCACAATAAAGGGCAGAATGAACATTTGGTCTCTAGTCTAACTCCAAAGCTTATGCCTAGTTCACTATTATTCTGCTACCTACAATCTTGGCTAGAGTCATATACAAAGACTAGAAGGCTCGGTGCATGAATTTGTACACAGGTGGGGTCTGGCTGGCCAGCCCCACCCCCTGGTCAAACAGATAATTTTCATATTAGCCTTTTATTATATGGGTTAGCATGCATGAAAATATGGAAAATGATTTCTAGACTTAGAAGTTATTAAAAAATTAAATAGAATTAATATTTTTAGAAATTAAAAGCAACTTTATATTCAAACATTTTAGCAACATATTACTCACTTGTCATCAATGCTATTCTGATAATAAATATGCAGAAGTTTGTCTTTTATCCAGCTGACTTTCTCTGCAGCTTCCTTTCCTGCTTCACCATGAAGACAGTATTTCTTATAAAGCTGAGCCAAACCCATCATAGCTTCTTTTCTTACTCGCCACTAGAAAGCATAAAGTTTAATGAATGAGCTAGATACCAAACTTTAATATACCAATCTACAAAAATTGTCAATTCTTTACTAGGTTGTACTATTAGACTTATGTGTACAAAAATAGCACAATATTTTCCATAAGAAGCAGACAAACTGTTTAACCCACAATTTTGAATATGCTCTGACTTGAAATGCACTCTGTACTCAAAAAAGGAATGGTTTATCCTAATCACATCCCATTTGATGTTAGCTCAGACAAAAGCAAAATTTAATACCAAGATCCTGGAATTGCTAAATTGTAAAGTAACTTGGACATCTTCTAAGGTGAACTACCCTACCTTCGCGATTAAGAGGACAAATGATTTACCTAGCCACATCCTAGTTAGTGAAAGACTCTATGGGACTTCTAGAGTTTGGGATGGGTTTACTAGTTGGAAAGAAAGGTAGTTGGAGAAGGGTGGATAGAAAGAAAAGGAGACTATAAAAACATAATTAGAATCATCATAGTAAAATGTAATAAAGCAATAACAAAAAAATATGTCTCAATAACAAATCAGAGAATACTATCCTTAGTTTAAATTAAAACTCACTAATAAAATTTTTGTAGTGAACAGAATGAACTTTGTTCCCATTCAACAGATCATACATGGTCTATAACATTTCTTACACAAAACCATATAATTTAAGCAGTAAAACCTAATTAGTATACAGAAAACACATTTCAGAAAGTCTATATCCAAGGCCATCTAATTTATTACATCTAAAACATCCAATAAGGCCTGGCCCGCATGGCTCAGTGGTTGAGCATTGACCTATGAACCACTCAGGACACATGCCTGGATTGTGTGCAGGAGACAGCCGATCAATAATTCTCTCTCATCATTGATGTTTCTATTTCTCTCTCCTTCTCCTTCCCTAAAATATCCAATAAGTGCTCTATTATGAGCACATCACATCATGCAATCTCAGGAAGATTCATTCAGTTACTCTTTCTAAAACTATAAACACTGACAGATACAGGAATGAAATGTTCCTAAAGAGAGGAAATAAAACTGGTTATATGTAGGCTAATTATCAAGTTACCACTAGGGATAGTATCATTTCATTTAAATTAAAGTCAAGGGGAAAAACTCTTATTTGGGAGAACATCAGGTTTTCAACTATGGCCCAATAAAATAGCACAGTGAAAAGGAAAACCTTTGTTAAAGACATTAATTTAGTAGCATGGCTAATCAGCCTGTCTTGCATGTCTGTCTTTTGCTCATGGATGACACTATGCCTTAGCAATTGCTATTGCTGTTCTTAATACTACTTTTCCATATAACCCATGTGTGTGTTTTAAGTTTTAAAATATTTATTGATTTGAGAGAGAAAAAAAGAGAAAGATATTTTTTGTTCCACTTTTATTTATGCATTCCTTAGCTGATTCTTATATGTGCCCTGACTGAGTTTTGAACCTACAACCTTGGCGCATGGGGACGATGTTCTAACCAACTGAGCTACCTGGCCAGGGCAATCCATGTTTATAACTGCTTCCACATGGAGGAAACCACACACAAAAAAACTACAACTGTGATTGCTGCCCTTAGATTGGCACACCTATATGAAAACATCATAGTCAAAGAAAGCATGATTATCTTTTAGTTAAACGAATGACAGCCATATCCACCTAAATTATAAAATACAGTCTCTTTTAAAAATACTAACTATAAGTAATAAATATGGATATTCACTACTCTTTCAGAACTCATCATGCAAGTGAAAAGGTAAAAAACTTTAATTTAGCTTTTTAAAAAAATATTTATATTGATTTCAGAAAGGAAGGGATAGAAACATCAATGATAATTGAGAATTATCGATCAGCAGCACCTGCATGCCCCCTAATGGGTATGGAGCACACAACCTGGACATGTGCCTTGACTGGGAATTAAATTGTGACCTCCTGGTTTTTGGGTTGACACTCAACCAGTGAGCCACACTGGCCGGGCTAGCTATTCTTTTTAAAAAGGTAAGCTAGAAGCAAATCACCATGCCTAAGACCTGAAAAGCTATAGAAAACAATGTATTCATTTATGAAGGTAACTTAAAAATACACAGAAATACAAAATATTAGCATGTTATCTGGCAATGTATTAATTTGATTTTCACACAAAAATGCTTTAAATATAATAGAAAATAAATTCTTTTGCAGTTAGTAAACAATTTAAACAAAGTAAATTAGAAAAGAATACTGCTCATAGTTTACCCGTTTATCCAGTGTTCTTTCCCTTACAAAGCCAAGTAGCTGATCATTTACTAAGGCAAGGTCTCTTTTGGCAGCTGTTATTATGGTAACAATGACATCATGGCGAATAGCTTCTTCTGGGTCATGTGATCTAACTTTCAAATATTCTATAATAAGAGAAAAAAATAAAAATAAATGTTAGCTATCATATCTGTCATATTCAGAATGACAGAAGAGACTAACACTTTAAACTTTTGTCCACAATGTTTACAATGTTTATAAAATATGCATAAATTTAAAGCATTTTATTTTTGAGGTAGCAATATCCTATGTATATACAAATAAACTATGACATAGTATTTACTACTGCACATTCATATCTTAGTAAAATCAATTATTCTGAAAAAATCAAATCACAACACAGTATTGGATTAAATAGATTACAATTTAAGTTACTATACAAATTAAGACTGAAAAAGAAAAAATAGCAAAAAAGGCTTACTGATAAGTATATATCTGCACATTATACAATATAAGAAAAACAGAATTAAAATTTTTCCTATAAAAATTTTCTAAGTATTACAATACAACCAAAATCAAAACAAAAAAAAAATGTTATTTTCTCTTTTTTGGTGAATAGTATTTTGATAAAAGCCATTTATTTGCTATTACCAAATAAGATATGCTTAAATGCTCTATGTTCAAATGAATAATGAGTCCAGAAGGTAACCACTTTCTTAGTTATTAATAATTAATGTTACTATGTTTAATTTTCACATAGGTATAGTGATTTCATAATATATCACAAAAGCCTACTTCCTCAAACTATGAGGATCACAATATGAAGATTTCAAATATACTTTTATTATATTAACATGAAATCATTTACTAGCCCAAGGATGATATAGACCTGAAATAGTGCCTTCCCGAATTAAAAATCTAATTCAAAAACTAAAGTTAAGGTTAAAGACATCTAAAATAATATAAAGCAGCTACCTTACCTGTGAGATCCTTTGCTAAATCTGGGTGATTCATTAAACAGTGACTGGCAAATTTCACACTTTCTAATCTCACAGGAACATGAATGTCATTAAATCTACATATGAAAAGATTGCTAAATATTAGTTGTAAGGCAAAACAATTATTTTCAAATAAGGTACACATATCTAACATTATATAAATGCCTATAAACACGAAACTACTGATTAGAAAGTATATTTTGACAGTTAACATGTTCTGAAGGAAGAATATAAAGTAAAACAATTATTTCACAAAAAGTTTGAAAACAATTTACCATTATAAAACAAACAAAAAGCAGTCCGAACACATCTCCCAACCCACATTACCAACAACTTTATAGAGCTCAAAATTTAAGTTTAAAATTATTCTATAAAACAAAAATAAATAAATATTTGAAACACAAAATCTACTTGAAAACATTTTTTAAAAATATATTTTATTGTTTTTTTACAGAGAGGAAGGGAGAAGGATAGTGTCAGAAACATCAATGAGAGAGAAACATCGATCTGATGCCTCCAGCACACCCCCTACTGGGGATGTGCCTGCAACCAAGGTAATTGCACTTGACCGAAATTGAACCCGGGACCCTTCAGTCCACAGGCCGATGCTCTATCCACTGAGCCAAACTGGTTAGGCAAAAACATTTTTTTTTAATGAGGAAAATACCAGTGGGATGTGAGGTAGAAAGGAAATCACGTATGAGGCAGATCCAGAAGTTCAAAGGTAAATACATGAAATGCATGTGTCATACTGCCTCACAAAGTTTCATGGATAGTACCAACATTAAAATGCTCTTTTAAAAGTATAATATATGAAATATCACATGTGAATTCAAAACTGCACTAAAAAGGACTGCATATAAAAATAAGGATAAGCTGAATAACTTTCATTTTAAAATTTTTGGGCAGTTTGAAAACAGCTATTAATGATAAATAATATGATTTTAAATAGCAAAAAATATTTTTAAAGTAATTTCACAACCAATTTGCCTGGCCAGTGTGCCTCAATGGTTGAGTATGGACCTAGGAACCAGGCAGGAGGTCACAGTTTGATTCCCCTGATTCCCAAGCAGGCACATGAACGGGTTTCAGGCTCAATCGCTGCTAGGGGGAGTGCAAGAGGCAGCCAATGGATGATTCTCTCTCATCACTGATGTTTCTGTCTCCTTCCTCTCCCTTACTCTCTGAAATCAGTAATAAAAACAAAAAAAGAAAAAAAAATATTGAAACAAAAACACTTCCACAACCAATTAAACTAAATTTATTTAATGAATGTTTTAATTTTAATGTCCGTGCCTACTTTATTATCCAGAGATAATCAATCATATTTTAATAAATTCTTGCATTTAGGGCTTATAATTTTCTAACTGCCAGAGGAAAATAAAAATAATGCTATTGCCCTAGCTGGTTTGGCTCAGTGGAAAGAGCATCAGCCTGCAGACTGAATGAAGGATCCCAGGTTCCATTCCAGTCAAGGGCTTATGCCTGGATTGCACAGACTTGATCCCCAGTAGGGGGCGTGCATGAGGCAGCTAATCAATGATTCTCTCATCATTGATGTTTCTATCTTTCTCTTCCTCTCCCTTCTTCTCTGAAGTCATAAAAATATATTTAAAAAAAGAAAGAAAATTATTTTTTTTAAAAGGATAAAGAAAAAACTCTTACGGTTTAGTATTTACAAGTAACACAGGGATAAAAAGAATTCTTGAACTTAGTTTTGCTATAAATACTGATGTCAATCACAAGGACCGAATCACTCCTCTACATATCGACAAGTACAGTTGCTTCATTTTTTCTACTCTAATTCTTATAAATTCAAGTTTAGTTATTTAAATATTACTTAATACTATTAAGACATTCAAAATGTAAGTAAGTTATCATTGTCAGGATCTGAAATTTCTGATTTGTTATATTTTAATGTTTAACCTAAGACTATTACAAGGAGTATTATATCAAACTTAATTTAAGAAAATTTCTGAGCTCATTTCCTGAATAGGTTGAATTAAATAATGGTAAATCTCAAATGATCTACAGAATACTAATAATTAAAATTGACTTTTTAATTAAATTTTGAAACAAAGAAATATGTACAAAAATGCAAGGGGGAATTGAATACATTCCATAGATTCTTTTCAACCTTACCATCAAGTTGATAGACCATAATAATTCTAAGTTCTTGAAAAGAAACATCAAAAACTATTTGAGTGAAGAGGAATGATATTTTCAATTTCAAAACAGACAATACCAAATTAGTTCAAAACATACAGCATGCACTTAGACATGCTAAAGACCTAAAAAGATAAGCACTAGTAAATGAATTGCTGGACTGAAAAATAGCATGAGCATGGCTTCACTTACATGTTTTAGTTTTCTTCATAAAAATCTGCCTTCTAATTTGTTCTCCAAGAAAGATAGCAATAAAGATACTAAAGAATATAAACACTTATCTAGTAAAGTTGTGATATAGGTGTGGTTTTAGTGGGTCATATTGACTGGCCTCCAAAACATAAAGAATCCATAGAATTCTATATTCTCTTACCGTCCAAGAAAACACTGCCAAAGAGGACGATTCTGTGTTGCCAGATCAGAATCTTTAGAACCAAACAATTTAGCTAAAAGTCGAACAACAGCTAATCGCTCTTCTCCATCATTGCTCTAAGGGAAAAGAAAAAATATATAAATCAGGCAATTTATTAATTACATCATAGGAAAGAAAATGAAACATTCCCCAAAAGCTACAATTTCACATTCTGCTTATAGTGATATGAGAACTTTAAAATACATGCTCTTCTTTACTAGGCTGATATTGTTTTGATTCCATGTTTGATCCTATCTGGTTCGTTACTCTTACTTCAAACCCTCCCTACTGCTAATATAAATCAATTTATCCCTTAAATGTCAAACACTAGAATAAGGAGAAGTCTTATTCTACTTGCAAGTGACTGCTTTAGTAGCTTAGTGATTATTTCAAATGATGTTACATTTCACATCTATGTGCTTAGCTACTGAAATAAAAATATGTGAGAACTCTGAATACATCAATAAGTGGAACAACAAATTGATATTTCTCTCTCTCTCTCCCCCACTTTCCCCACCCTTTCTAAATCAAATAAAACATTTTTTAAAATAAAAAAAAAAAACCTGTTCAAAATTTTAAATAAATTCCTTGAGTCAAGTTGGAATATAATTTATAGTGATGGTATAATTTTTTTGATACAAAAAATGATGTATAAGTATATTATTAATCTATCCCAAAGTGTAAAATTATATCATTAAGATATTACATAATACATTGTTTGACTATAAATACATATATACCTTAATAATTAAAACAATGAACAAATATTAGAGATTTGGCGTCAACAATTTGCCAGTGACTTTCTAAAAAAAAAAAACAAAAAAACCCTCAAAACCAAAACCAGCCGAAACCGGTTTGGCTCAGTGGATAGAACGACAGCCTGCGGACTGAAGGGTCCCGGGTTCGATTCTGGTCAAGGGCATGTACCTTGGTTGTGGGCACATCCCCAGTAGGGGGTGTGCAAGAGGCAACTGATCGATGATTCGCTCTCATCGATCTTTCTAACTCTCTATCCCCCTCTCTTCCTCTCTGTAAAAAAAAAATAAATCAATAAATAACAGCCCCTCCCCCCCAAAAAACCCCCCCACAAACCTCAAAAGGCTGCTTGTAGTTTTCATTTTTTTTTATCCTAGCTAGAAAAGGTAACTAACTCTAACCGATTCAGAATAATTCTCTGAAAATTTCTACTCTAATCAAAATAAGGCAATAGTAACTGGGTTTTTGGTGTGTTTTCTTAAAAAGATTTTTAAGGAAAGAGGAAGGGAGAGGGGGCGAGAGATGTGAGAACAGAATACTGGCCAGCTGCCTCCTGCAACAGCCCTGTTGGGGATGGAGCCTGAAAATTGGACACGTGCCCTGACCAGGGATCAAACCAGCAACCTTTCAGTGCATGGGACAATATCCAACCACCTGAGCATCACTGACCACTGCAGTATAGTAACTGTTTTACAGTACTTTTAAATTTGGGAAATAAATGTAAATCAATGTCTCTCTCTCTCTCTCTCTCTCTCTCTCGAAAATAAATGTAAATGTCTTGTGTGTGTGTTTTAAATATAAAATGTGGCAAATTTCATGATAACTACAGACAAGACTGTTAAAAAGGACAACTCCAGGGAATCCTTGAAATATGAGAGAATAGAGCTCTGTGGTCCCATGCAGTGGACAGTATATATAGTTGTATGAAGTAGCCAAGTACAGAGTAAAATAAAAAATTGTAACCTGTAACTATTAACTATTAAAATTTATAGCTATATTCAGAGATATAACTACATAAAAAGCACCACAGTAATAGTGGTAACTCAAAAAGGGGCACCCTAATTATATGTAGATAGTACCTAAACTACTCTGAATTTCATTTTCTTCATTCAGGATGAGAAAAGTAATACTGGTACGGTCTAGGGATTCAGCCAGGAAAAAATAAGAACACAGGTGATGGCACCTGTTTTAAGACAATAAACAAATATTCTTTCATTACTATTATCTAGACATAGTAGATAGTTCAGTATAAAGTTAAAAAAGACATACATTTATGAACATAGCAAAACAAAAATTAATGGTTTTGTTTTATATATATGGTACTAACACATATAATATCTTAATAAAAAATGAAAAAAAAATATATATGGTACTAAAATAAACTACAACAGAAATAACATTAACTCCCTACAAGTTAATTAAAAAAAAAATTAAAGAGTAATTGGGGATTGGTAAACTGAGTTAATAAATCATTGAAGAAGGTGATACTGCTCAGTCTTAGCCATTTTGTTGTCATATAGAAATATCAACCCAAAGTTTCCAAATCACCTGTTTTGTTTTGTTTTTTTTTTTAAATATTTTTTATAGAAAGAAAGAGAGAGGGATAGAGAATTAGAAACATCGATAAGAGAGAATCATCAATCACCTGCCTCTTGCACACCCCAACGGGGAGGTGCCCACAACCAAGGTACATGCCCTTGACCTGAATTGAACCTGGGACCTTTCAGTCTGCAGGCCAATGCTCTATCCACTGAGCCAAACCGGTAAGGGCTGATTTTTTAATTGTTGCAACTATTAAAGGTCCTATCTAATAAAAGAGCAATATGCAAATAAACCATAATTCGACTATAACCACAAGCCACATCCACGAGCCAATCAGGAGCACATATGCAAATTAATCCAACCAAGATGGCTACAGCTACAGAGAGGGAGACTTTGGTATCCCTGGTGATGGAGGCAGCCAAGCTTTCCACACATCCTGCCTGGTCCAGGCCTCCGCTTAAGGCTATAAAGTTTCAATTATAGAAGATACATAAATTCCAACAAAATGGCTGTGGCCACGAAGCTAGAGAGAGCAGGAGGTGAGTTGCCAACAGTGATGGAGGAAGCCAAGCTTCTTCAGCCCTGGCTGGCCCAGGACTTCGCTCCAGGCTACAAATTTTCAATTATAGAAGATTAATCAATCCCAACAGAAATGGCTGCTGCTACAGAACAAGCAGAAGGCTTGGCTCTGCTCCAGGCTACAAAGTTTCAATTGTACAAGATAAATAAATCCCAGATACCTGGGCCTCCACTTGGGTCACTGGGGGATGTGGCTGGCCTGCAAATCACGATAGGCCCCTTGCTCAGGCTACCCCACACCCCAAGGGAACCCTGATCCAGGACACCCTTCAGGGTAAATCAGCTGGCCCCCACCCATGCACCAGGCCTCTATCCTATCTAATAATATGCAGACTGACCATCACTACAACATATAAGATGGCTGTCCCATGTGGTCAAAGAGCCTGTCCCTATGTGGACACAAGATGAACACCACAAGATAGCCAGTAGGGGAGGGAATGTGGGAGGGGCCAGGCCTGCAAGAGAGGGCAGTTGGGGGCAATCAAGCCTACAGGGGATGTTCCTCTCTCTCTCCCTTACTCTTCCTCTCTGAAATCAACAGAAATATTTTAAAAATAAAAAAATAAACAAATCACATCTAATACTAGATAAATACCATTTAATAACATGTATCATAAGATTTGTGATACTCTACATTTCATACCTATTATTATTATTTTTTAAAATATATTTTATTGATTTTTTACAGAGAGGGAGAGAGAGCTAGAAACGTCCATGAGAGAGAAACATCGACCAGCTGCCTCTTGCACACCCCCCACCGGGGATGTGCCCGCAACCAACGTACATGCCCTTGACCGGAATCATACCCGGGACCTTTCAGTCCGCAGACCGACACTCTACCACTGAGCCAAACCGGTTTCGGCTCATACCTATTATTTGTGTCACTGTGTTCATCAAGTATTTAACAACTAGGTAAGTTATACTTTTGCAATATATATTCTCCTATGACCCAGATAAGAGATACTGCTGTATTCAAATGATTCCAAAATATATACCTTAACTAAATATTAAAAGGATAAATTGAGCTCATATTTTACAGCTAAAGAAAAACTAAGATATATATATATTTTTTTTCCTGAAAGTTTAAAAGACTTAAAAATTATAGTCAGTCCTACCTTCAGTTTGAATTCAAGCTGCGGCATGACAGATAATAATAAGTGAGGATCTATAGCAAAAAGCTCCTGAATCAGATCAAATATATGTTCTGACAAATCACTTACTGATGATTTTCCAAGCACCAGGACTTGATTGAAAAACTATAGGAGATAATAAAACAAAAATATCCATTTAATTTAAAAACTTAAGTTTTTTTTAAAAATAAACATGGGTTTAAAAAACTATATAATTAGGCATTATATATACAACTGAAGGGGATGAAACAGAACAGATATTTCAAGCAATATATGATATGACAGTCACGAAAACATTAAATTAAGTTCTACACATCAAATCATGAATGTTACATGGAAGAGAAAGGTAAAAAAAAAAACCCAACACAACTCATTGTTAACTTTCTTTCAAGTTAGAATGACATTTGTGGGAATCTTAATTTTCATTAAAACAGAACAACTTAGTCTATGTAATTCATCATAAAACACTTTATAGAGAAATTTCCTAATAGCAGAGAAAAAAAAGTTGTCTTATCTTTTTTTATTTGAGTGTGACCAATTTTTCCATGACTTTAGATGAAACCTCCATTTCCTACCAACACATACATCCTTAGAAAAAAAAAGTATTAAATTTGAAAATGCTAGAGGCAGTTGTATGCAAATGATACAAGCATATACTTTTCTGTAGTATCATCAAAAGACATTTGTTTTAAAAGGCAACATACTTTTGTTCTAAATGAAGCTGTTTATAGGCTAAATAAACATATATGAGAAAGTTGCTCATAAATTAGTACATGGATTAAGAATTACAAAATTATGAAATAAATACAGGCTGAAATACATACATTGGCAATGCAGGCCTCAATAGTCTGGACTGTTCTTTTCAATAGGCCTTTTGCAAGGTCAAAGGACTGTTTATTTAAGTTCTGAAAAAAATACAAATATGCAAAGTTACAAATGATTTGGTGAATTTATTCTAGCACCATTAGAACACTATGGTCTTCAAGCATACAAAATATAAAGCAAAAAATACAAGGGGCCCTGGCTGCTTTGGTTCAAGGGTTAGAGTGTCAGCCTGCAAATTGAAGGGTCCTGGGGTTTGATTCCATTCAAGGGCACATGCCTCAGTTGCAGGCTTAATTCCCAGTAGATGGTGTGCAGGAGGCAGCCAATCAATGATTCTCTCTCCCTTTCCCTTCCTCTCTAAAATAAATAAACGTATTTAAAAAAAAAAATGCGATGGAATCCTAGTTAAGGTTTTACCCAATATCTGTTAGTCAAGTGGTCTTAAACGCAGAATTTGAAAATAGCACAATTTTGAATAAAAAAACAAAAATAGTACATTAGTTACTCATAAACTATATCAAGTTTAGTTTTATTAAACTCAAAATCACAGGCCTTTGGTTTTGTTAACCAACTTAAGTTGGCAATTACACCCATGTATCCTAAACACACACACACACCCCTCTCTAACTCATGATCTCAGTATTTCATTGTCTGATCAACATGTGCTATAAGGAAGAGTAAATCTAGAAAGTTTTCTAAGTAAAACTGCCAATAAATTATAATTCTGAAATGCTGAATACTATGTTCACTCCTTAAGATTCCCAATGCACTACAAAATATTAAAGGGTCTAAAATGACTAGAACGTTGGCTGCGGGCACATCCCCGGTAGGGGGTGTGCAAGAGGCAGCTGGTCGATGTTTCTCTCTCATCGAGTTTCTAGCTCTCTATCTCTCTCCCTTCCTCTCTGTAAAAAATCAATAAAAATATATTTTTAAAAAAAATGACTAAAAAAAAATTTACAAACTTAATATTTAAAAACTTACTGAAAAGGAAATTCTTGCTTTGGAGTACATCTCTATACTCTGAAGTTTTAGATCAAACTGAGATTCATTCAACATCAAGTTTCACCTCTCCCAAAAAGAGACTATGCCAAGAGCCAGGTGATAAAAATTGTAGGCTTTGTAAGTCATATGGTCAATGCTACAACTATACAGCTCTGCTGCTGTAGGGTGAAAGCAGCCATGCTATCTAATAAAAGAGTAATGTGCAAATTAACCATCACTCAGTTATATCCATAAGCCACGCTCACCAGGCAATCAGGAGCAAGTATGCAAATTAACCCATCCAAGATGGCTGTGGCCACGGAGAGAGCAGGAAGAAGGCTTGGGTTTCCCCAGTGATGGAAGAAGCCAAGCTTTCTGCCTGCCCTGGCCGGCCCAGGCCTGCACTCCAGGCTACAAAGTTCCAATTATAGAAGATAAATAAATCCCAAAAAAATGGTGGTAGCCATGGAGCTGGAGAGAGCAGAAGGCTAGAGTTGCCCATAGTAATGGAGGAAGCCAAACTTCTGTCGCCCTGGCCTGCCTTGGCCTCTGCTTAAGGCTACAAAGTTTCAATTATAGAAGAAAAATAAATCCCAACAGAAATGGCTGCCACCATGGAGCGAGCAGAAGTCTTGGCTCTGTGCCAGGCTACAAAGTTTCAATTGTACAAGATAAATAAATCCCAGATACCAGGGCCTCCCCTTGGGTCACCAGGGGGCATGGCTGGCCTGCAAACCACCACAGGCCCCTTGCCCAGGCCACCCCTCACTCCAAGATTAACCCCTACCCTGATCTGGGACACCCTTCAGGGCAAGCCAGCTGTCTCTCACCCATGCACCAGGACTCAATCCTATCTAATAAAAAAGTAATATGCAAATTGACCATCACTCCAACACACAAGACGGCAGCCCCCATGTGGTCAAAGATCCTGTCCTCATGTGGATACAAGATGGCCAGCAGTGGAGGTCAGCTGAGGGCTATCAAGCCTGCAAGGGAGGGCAGTTAGGGTCAAACAGACTGGCAAGAAAGCAGTTAGGTATCGATCAGGCTGGCAGGGGAATGGTTAGGGGGTGAACAGGCTGGCAGGCAGAAGTGGTTAAGGGCAATCAGGAAGGCAAGCAGGCAAACAGTTGGGAGCCAGCATTCCTGGATTGTGAAAGGGATATCCGACTGCCTGTTTTGGCCCGATCCCGTAACGGGCAGTCAGACATCCCTCAAGGGGTCCCAGAGGGACACCCTCCTCCCCCGTGCACGAATTTTGTGCACCAGGCCTCTAGTAGATAAAATAAAAAGAAATCAGATACTGTGCTCAATAAAACTTTATTTGTACAAACAGGCAATGAGCCAGACTTCTGACCCTTGCTCCAGACTTTTATTCTACTGGCAAAAGGATAAAATTAGCTCAAAATTAAGGCAACTTTTGTATTTCTTTAAATGGTATATTATTGCCCTCGCTGGTCTGGCTCAGTGGATACAGTGTTGGCCTGTGGAATAAAGGGTCCCAGGTTCTATTCCAATCAAGGGCGCATGCCTGGGTTGCGGGTTGGATCCCCAGTGTAGGACATGCAGGAGGCAGCAGATCAATGATTGTCTAACATCCTTGTTTGTTCAGTTATTTATTTTTGTTAATCCTTGCCTGAGGATGTTTCCACTGATTTTTAGAAAGAATGGAAGAGAGAAGGAGACAAAGAGAAAAATCGATGTGAGAGAAAACACATTGATCGGTTGCCTCCTGCACAAACTCTGACCAGACTGTCTAAGCCAGGAGGAGCCTGCAATGAAGATATGTGCCCTTGACTGGAACCAAACTTGGGACCCTATCCACTGAGGCAAACTGGCCAGAGCTCATCATTGATGCTTCTATCTCTCTAACCTTCCTTCCTCTCTGAAAGCAATAAAAATGTACTAAAAACAAAACAATTACTATAACAAAAAACACAACACCCCACTAATGTTAATTAATTAATCTTAATAACGATGATTAACATTATCCTTAGTTCCCACTTCTGCCCAAATCTTTTCCTGCAAGTGCCTAAGAAAAATGTAGGGTATGAGTTCTAAGAAAAAATACAAATTTCTATGTTCCACACCTACGTTACAAAGAGAAAATACATTTTCTTTCTTTAAAAACAACAAACTAACCAAGACAGTACTCTAACCCCTTATAATTCCGAGATTAGATTTGAGTAGTGAATTTAAAACATTTTTAATTTTCCAGGAAATGGATAGCACTTAACTGGGTGAAAATATATGTTAATCAATTCATCTTCTAAAAACAATAATAGCTCTAAGACTGATGTGTGTCACTCCATTTTATTTGGGCTAGATAATGATAGTAGGGATAACTATGTGGGAGGGCAAATGGTGAAAATAATTGTTTTACGGTTAGTACTACCTTTAAATATTAACCTTTAATATTTTCATATATACAGACCTTATGTGCAGGAATGAGGTTAATAAGAATGGAGTCCAATAACTCTTGAGTAACTCCATCACCTTCCATGATGATAGAACTCATCAAATCTAGCATGTGCATTTGTACCTTCTTATTGTGGCTATTGCTAAAAAAGAGGAAGAAACAGATGATAAAAAAATCCAGGCATACAAAAAGAAAATTAAAACTTCCCAATTTAAAACAATTGTGCCAGATATATAAGAATTTTCAGTTGAAGGAACAATGCCAATATTATACTATATACTTTCTCCTTCTGTTAATTATTACAATAGCCCTAAGTTATTGTAAAGCATTTTATAGAAACAAAGAATTAAGTTCTCACATAATTAGGATTTAAACAGTGAGTTAAATTCATAAATCAAAAATGTCAACTTGAAAGACCATTTATGTTTACATGGCTCCAGATTTAAAAATTTTTAAGTATGAAAACAAAAATATTACAAGATAATGAAGGCAGTTTTTCATCCTTCTAGATCTTAGTACAATCCCCAAAATAAAACAATAAACACACAAAAAAAGTCTAGGTCATAAACTACATGCAATTAAGTTATACTGCATATATTTGCCACTAGAAGTTTTAGTTGAAAGTTTGATATAAAATGCTTATGGGAACTTAGACTAGAAGGTTCTAAAAATGTCATCCTGTTATTTCTCAAAGAATTTCAAACAATCAAAAAAAATCAATAAGGTATAAAACCAAGAATCAGTTTTGGTCCTATTTCCTTAACCAGTTGAATAGTCAACTAGTCCTCAATAAATACGCCTACCAGCTTATTTAAAGAAACTGACTAAAAAATGTTTTAACTAGTAGAACATCTAGACCTCTCCTTATGTCTGCATCTTAACTAAAGACTTGACCTGTCCAATTTCACATTTGTTAAAATATATATGCAAAGACAAATCAAGAGAAATGTTATAATTTAGTTATACCACTATAGATACAGGACATTTTAAATCAAGATCAAATTAGCCTGGCTGGTGTGGCTCAGCGGTTGAGTGTCGACCATGTGAGCTGGATTCCCAGTGTGGGGCGTGCAGAAGGCAGTGATCAATGATTTCTTTCTCATTATTGATGTTTCTATCTCTCTCTCCCTCTCTTCCTTCCTCTTTGAAATCAATAAAAATATCTAAAAAAACAAACAAAAAAAAAGCCAAAAAAAAAAAACCCACATTAAATTTTAATATAATTTGTGTATTTCTCCTCATCTATAATTTTAAAAAAATTAATTTGAAATTATGTATAACAGACATCCTGGGCATTTAGTGGTAAAATGTACAGATGAAAAATTTAAATGTTGGTGGAAAATTTGTCATGAAATTAGATACAGTTTTCTATAACTTTTAGAAAGACACCCCTTTTGCATGTCCTTCCAAATATTTTCATGTTAAGCCTTCTAAGAAAAACATTTCCAATAACTCTATAAGATCTTAGTGTATAAGCACAGCAAGAAAAAAGTCAAATGCTTCAAAAATAACTTACTTGATCACTGAGAAGAGAGTCCTAAAAAGCTGAATAAAAATCTCATTGCAATCTTCCAATTCAAAGCAGATGTTATATGATTTAACCCAAGCTAAATTCTTAAATAAAAAAATAAAAATTATTTACACATACAAAAATCACACAAAAGCAAACTCATTGATAAAACTTAAGTTTTAGAATTAAAAATCTATTTAAAACTTATAAAAGTCAAACATACAAAATTACAACTGTTAAAGTAGTCATGTACTCTGACTTTTAAAAAGATATTAACCTTGGCATTAACCTTCTCTAATTGAAAAATACTAAATTGTTAAGACATATATAACATACAAAATATAAAAAGCAGTGAAAATTAATTCAACTTAATTCCTTTTTGGATTAGAAAAAAATAGAGAAGTAGGAAAATAAAATCTCAAATAATATAAGAGTTTTCCCAGTGGAATATACTTTATCTTTTCAGGACATGAGGAACAAAAAATATATAATATAAAATACGTTTTATTAAGTGAGGTTGGTATAAAACGAATATTCACTTAACATTATAAAATTACTATTAAGAATTTTCTATGTGAAACGGTGATATTTTTAAAATAAAATTTTTTTACCTCTAATAAATAAAAGTATCTATTAAACTGCGGACTCTTTGTATCTTCCAAACCTTTTAATTGTCTGGTAATAAACAAAAATATGTCCTGTTAAAAAAATGATAAAATATATTAATTTAGGCACAAATATGTATCATTCTTTCACAATACACTAATTTTGTGTGTTTGTGTGTGTGTGTATTCTCTCTTAAGAACTAAAATAAAATGCTTCTTTGGCCAAATGACTTGAGTCTAGCCCATTCAAAATAACTAGAAAAGAACAAATCATATAAAATTACATCCTTTAAAAGCAAAAATAAAGAGCATATTTGATAAACTCCAGTGAGATGTAGGTCCCTCCTCAGGGCGGAGCTCACTGAGGGAGAAGGCCATGCTCAGTTTGAGCACTAAGATCATGAAGCCCAATGGCAATAAACCAGAAGAGTTCATGTCCAGCAGCTCCCAAGCTCTGCTGAGGCTGGAGATAAACTCAGGCCTCAAGGACCAGCAATGGGAGCTGAACATCCCAGTGAGTAAGGATGTTGAAGTTGGTGGCAGTTGGAAAGCTATTTATAATCTTTGTTCTGGTTCCTCAACTGAAGTCTTTCCAAAAAGTCCAAGTTCAGCTGGTATGAGAGTTGGAGATAAAGTTCAGTGGGAAGCACATTGTCTTTATCACTCAGAGGAGAATTCTGCCTAACTCGAAAAAACTCTACAAAGAATAAGCACAAACATTCCAGGAGCTCCACTCCTGAGAGCCATTAATGATGCAATCCTGGAGGACTTGGTTTTCCCAAGTGAAATTGTGGGCAAGAGAACTCACATGAACCTGGATGGCAGCTGGCTCATTAAAGGTTCATTTGGATAAAGCCCAGCAGAACAATGTGGAGCACAAGGTTGAAACTTTTTCTGATGTCTATAAGCTCAGGGCAAGAATGTTAATTTTGAACTCCCACAATTTCAGTTTTAAACAAAAATGACTAGTAAAATACTGTTCTCAGTAGAAGCAAAAAATAAATATTACAAATACAAATTTTTAAGCTTTCTCATTCTGACAGAATCAAGATTTATGTGTTGTTACCCTTCTTCTAAAACAGAACTTCCATTTTACTATCTGTAATATGCATGATGGCAAACAATTATTTTTCATTTAATGACCTGGACACAAGTTTTTCCATTACTATTTCCGACATGTAAATAATAATTTTCAGTACCTACTTTTGAATTTGATGTGACTTCAAAATTGTGTGGAACAAAAGCAGTAATAAATCGGTGCAAAGGTTGTACTTTTCAGGATCATGGTGCTTCATTATTTAATAAGCTTTCCTTATAAGTTTTAATCCAAAATAATATTAAATGGAACAAACACATTTTGGACTACTGAAAATAAAGCAGTCAGGTCCTAGCTAATTTGGCTCAGTGGATAGTGTCAGCCTGTGGACTGAAGGGTCCTGGGTTTGATTCAGGTCAAGGGCACATGCCCGGGTTGTATGCTCAATCCCCAGTAGGGGGCGTGCAGAAGAAAGCTGATCAATGATTCTCTCTCAACATGGATGTTTTTATCTCTATCTCCCTCTCCCTTCCTCTCCCAAATCAAGAAGTGTGTGTGTGTGTGTGTGTGTGTGTGTGTGTGTGTGTGTACGAAATCAGCTCAAGATTAATTAAAAAAAGGAGCTCCTCAAACATTTCAAAGGCAGAACCACCAAGATGAACAATTTTGCATGTAGAATAACTTGCAGAGAAAACAATCATTTGAATGTGCAAGTTCTGTTCCACAATTGTTGTTTTTTTAAAATACTAATATGTGTGTTTTTTTGTTTTTATTTCAGAGAAGAAGGGAGAGGAAGAGAGAGATTGAAACATCAATGATGAGAATCACTGATCAGCTATCACCTGAATTCCCCTACTGGGATCCAGCCTGCAACCCAGGCATGTGCCCTTGACCGGAATCGAACCTGGGACACTTCAGTCTCCAGGCAAAGGCCCTATCCACTGAGCAGGTAAGGCTTTACTATTGTTTTAAAAGCATTAATACAGTATTATCCCTTCAATTCAGCCATCTGGGCCTTGTGGTAAGTAATCTTGAAGGTTAGATATGAGCAAACATGGACTAGCTGTGATGTTTTCAACATGTCACAAAAATGCTAGGCATTTTTATAGATATTCAATGAAAAATAACTGAATTAAAAGCTTGTTTTGCAAGTTACAATAAAAAAATTTTTAATTTTTTAAATTAATTTTTTTAGAGAAACACTGATTTGTTGTACCACTCATCCATGCATGTATCAGTTAATTCTTTTATGTGCCCTCACCAGGGAACGACCCTGCAACCTTGGTTATTGGGGTGATACTCACACCAACTGAGCAACCCAGTCAGGACTTATGACATAATCTTACTATGACAAGATGAACAATATTAAAGTTATGTTCCTAGTGCTCGCTTTGGCAGCACATATACTAAAGTTATGTTCCTAAAAGTAAAATAAACTATAAAAGTAAACCAATTCTGTAAAGATTGTATTTACCTTAAGTTTATCATGGGAAGTATATGGAGCTTCTGGGGCATAGATTCGAAAGATATCAGCCAAACAACATGCTACAAGGAGACGCACATCTTTATTGGGATTCCTGAGGAAAAATTCAGATGCAAGATGCAAGGCTAGTGGGAGATACTGCTGTTTCTCATCTTCTGAGTCCTGATCCATATCCATAAAAGTTTTTACTACCATCTGTAAAAATGTATAAAAGAAAAATATAATCAACATCTGATGTTCAGAAATCAGTGGGAGACATAAATTTTTAAAAAATTATCATTATGCCTGGCCAATGGCTGAGCATAGAAAAAGGACCAACTAGGAGGTCACAGTTCCATTCCTAGTCAGCACATATATGGGAAGGGTGGTTGCTAAGAATATGCCAAGAATTTGGGGAGGGGGAAGAAACCAAGATGGCGGCATAGGTAAACATCTGAATTACTACTACAACTAAAAGACAGAACAGACATCATCAAGGAGCACAGGAAACTGACTGAGTGGAAATTCTACAAGAAAAGAGGAAAGCACACGGAGACTCAGAGGACCTGCAAAGGACTGAGGTACGGAGACACGCTCGCAGAGAGGAAGGGCGACTGAGTGCCTGGCTGGCATTCTCTGGCGGAAGGAGGAAGGAAGCCCCCCACTAAAACTGAACACCAGTTCCAGGCAAAATCTCGTTAACCCAGGCTCATATGGAGGGAGGGAGTCTGGACTGTCAGGTAGAGAGACAGGTACACAGAGACTCGAAGACTCAGGGAAGTCACGGTGGGCAGGGGTCTGGAGGCTCGGGCGAGCAAGTGCACAGAGAGATTGACTGCTGAAGTTGCCACTAGCTCTCCCTAGCAGAAGGGAGTTGGAAACTCTGACTACACTGAACCCCAGTACAAGACAAGACTGGGGGAATCTGGACTGTCAAACGAAAACTCGGGGGAGCCATGAAAGGCAAAGGTCTGGAGGCGCATATGCAAGGGCAGGGCTGACCTGAAGCCAAGACTGTCTGCTCAGCCTTGAGACTCCGCCCCATACAAGCTGAGCACAGAGGCTTTTGGAATTTTGCAAGCCTGGTCCTATAAGACTGTCTCCAGCACAGGTCTCCCAGAGTAGACACAGCTGACACACAAAGCTACCCTACCAACTCAGGGAAGCATCGGAAATGTGGAAACAAAGTAACAGATCACAAACAAAAGAAATGGAGGAAAACAAACGTCTGGATATAGAATTCAAATCCATGGTTAGGAGGTTTTTCAAGAATTTCCTAGAAAAGGCCGATAAATTTAGCCAGACCCTCGAGGATATGAAAAAGTACCAACTAGAAATTAAATATACACTGATTGAAATAAAAAAATATTATACAGAGACCCAACAGTAGACTAGAGTAATGCAAGAATCAAGTCCAAAGATTTGAAATTCAAAGGAGCAAAAAACACTCAACCAGAAAAGCAAAAAGAATCCAAAAAGTTGCTGAAACCGGTTTGGCTCAGTGGTAGAGCGTCGGTCTGCGAACTGGAAGGTCCCAGGTTCGATTCAGGTCAAGGGCATGTACATTGGTTGCAGGCACATCCCCGGTGGGGGTGTGCAGGAGGCAGCTGGTCGATGTTTCTCTCTCATTGACATTTCTAGTTCTCTATCTCTCTACCTTCCTCTTTGTAAAAAATCAATAAAATATATATTTTTTTTAAAGAATCCAAAAAGTTGAAGATAGCGTAAGAAGCCTCTGGGACAACTTCAAGCGTACCAACATCAGAATTATGGGGGTGTCAGAAGAAAAGAGAGAACAAGATACTCAAAACCTATTTCAAGAAATTATGACTGAAAACTTCCCCCACCTGGTGAAATAAATAGATTTACAAGTCCAGGAAGTACATAGAACCCCAAATAAAAGGAATCCAAAGAGGACCATACCAAAACACATCATAATTAAAATGCCAAGAGCAAAAGACAAAGAGAGAATCTTATAAGTAGCAAGAGAAAAACAGTTAATTACCTACAAGGGAGCATCTATAGACTGTCAGCTGATTTCTCAACAGAAACTATGCAGGCCAGATGGGAGTGGCAAGAAATAGTCAAAGTGATGAATAGCAAGAACCTACAGCCAAGATTACTCTACCCAGCAAAGTTATCATTCAGAATGGAAGGTCAGATAAAGAGCTTCACAGATAAGAAAAAGCTAAAGGAGTTCATTGCCACCAAACCAGTATAATATGAAATGCTGAAAGGTATTCTTTAAGAGGAGGAAGAAAAAAGTAAAGATAAAAATTATGAACAGCGCCGGGACCGGTTTGGTTCAATGAATAGAGCGTCGGCTTGGGGACTGAAGGGTCCCGGGTTCGATTCCAGTCAAGGGCATGTACCTTGGTTGCGGGCATATCCCCAGTAGGGGGTGTGCAAGAGGCAGCTGATCGATGATTCTCTCTCATCGATGTTTCTAACTCTCTACCTCTCTCCCTTCCTCTCTGTATAAAATCAATAAATTAAAAAAAAATTATGAACAGCAAATACATTTCTATCAACAAGGGAACCCAAAAATCAAGTGAATTAAAAATCTTAGGAACAGAATAAACTGGTGAATATAATAGAATCAGGGGCATAAAAGGGAGTGGACTGATAATTCTCAGCTGGGAAGGTTATGGGGGGTGCAGGAAAAGACTGGACTAAAATTGTTCACCTATGGATGAGGACAGACGGGGAAGGTAAGAGCAGAGGGTGGGGTGGGAACCTGGTGGAGGGGGGGAAAAATGAGGAACTTTTGTAATAATATGAACAATAAAGATTTATTAAAAAAAAAAAAAAAAAAGACGTGAGCTTGAACAACTATCAACTTTTAGATTATTCACAGATACATTATCTGCATCTGCACCAAATTTATGAAGAATATAAGATTCTCATTAATCATTTTATATCTAGTGCTGGTAAAATGTTTTGGACCTCATGTGCACAACCAAATTCATTCGATACTTTGAGATATTACTGGTTTCTTTTATTATCAAAGCTGCCTTCATTTAGGCTTCTTAAAACTGCTATTTTATTTCACAGTTTAAGAATTTTGCAATTCACAATAGAAAGCCGTGTTTAAATATTTTTATGTAATTGTACTTCTGACTAAAAGCGTTAATTATAAAATAATCTCTGTTGTTCCTTATGGTTACAAGACTTAACAAATTCACATTTTAGAATTACTCTAAAAAGCCAAATAAGTATAACTGTAAAAATCATAATTTCTCAGTCTCAGAAAATAACCACTATTAACATATTTTTTGTGTATTTTATGCTGATTTTTCTCTGTAAAGATGCAAATAACCATCCCATAATTCCTCATTTCTCAAATCATGATCATTTCCTCATGATTTGATATTTATTTAAAAGTAGGTTTTTATTGATTTCAGAGAGGAAGGGAGATAGAAACATCAATAATTTCAAACCTTCCCCTGACCTTCTGCTATTGTAGCTTCATATCTTCGTTTAGTTACATAGTCTGTGAGAGTCTGCTTTTAAGTTACAAACATCCCTGTGAGATTTAATAGCTAGTAAGCCTTATATCTTGGTTATCTATTAACATTTTAGTAGAGATTGTTATCTAGTTAGAATTGTGGATAAAAAAGAGACCTAGCTGGTTTGGTTCAGTGGCTAGAGCATCAGCTTTCAGACTGAAGGGTTCTCTGTTCAATTCCAGTCAAGAACACATGCCTGAACCCCAGTAGGGGACATGCAGGAGGGCAGCTGAACAATGATTCTCTATATTCATAGATTTTTTTTTTTCTCTCTCTCCCCTTCCCCTTCTTGGAAATCAATAGAAATATATATATATATATATTTTTTTTAAAGTTGAGGGGGGGGGGGGGAAGAGGGGATGAGGGGGGAGATTGATATAAATGATATAATATAGAAGAAAAATACCTGAAACTTAGGATCTTAGAGATCAAAGATAATCATAACATTCACTTTGGTAGGACTAGCAAGGCCACCTGAAATCATCTTATATAGAATCCTCTATTCAGACATAATTCACCTAACCTCAACCAACAAAACTCATATTTATAGATGAGTAAACTAAGAATCGGTTTAAATCCTAATGCAAGTTGCCAAAAGTAAAAGGAGAGAGCATACACACCAGAGATATTTGGCCCTTATTTTATAAGAGCCAATTAATTGTTAAGCTGCCTTAAAATTTTTATATATTAAGTGATGGTTCACCCACTACAAGGTGTACGTTAATAACGCAGATTTTATAATAAAAGAAAACACGATAATTTTAAGAGAAATATAGAAAGTGCTTTATTCAAAGTAATGTTCATCGCTAGCTACACATTTCCCCCATCTTCCAGGTAATTTGTGGATACCATCCCAATAGAACTTTTCTTGTTTTGAGGCAAACCATTCAGATACCCAATTTTCCATTTCTTTGTATGTTTTGAAGTGCTGCTCAGAACGTGCATGTGCCATGAATCAGAACAAGTGGTAATCTGAAGGAGCAAGGTCTGGTGAATACAGCGAGTGGATTAATACTTCCCAGGCTAGTATCTTTAAGTCGTTTTGAAGTGTGTGTAATAATGCATTATCATGATGCAAAATTACTTTCCCATGTCTTCTGGAACACTCTGGCTGTTTTATGATCAAAGCATGGTTCAAATTAGTTATTTGTTGTTGGTAGTGATCAGTATTAATGGTTTCAGGTGGTTTTAAAAGCTCATAATATACTACACCTTCCTGATCCCACCAAACAAAGAGCATTTTCTTCTTTCCAAAGCAATCTGGGCTTGCAATTGATGTTGATAGATGAACTGGATCAACGCATGATTTTGTGTATTTTGGATTCTCAAAATAAGTCCACTTTTCATCACCAGTCACAATTCAATGCAAAAAAGACTTTCCTTCATGCCATTGAAGCAACATTTTACTGATGACTTTTTGGTTTTCCATTTGTCTTTCATTCCATTGATGTGGCACCCATTTTCCTTCCTTTAAAATCTTTCCCATTGCTTGTAAATGATAAGAAATTGTAAACATTTAATCTTTCTTCAAGTTGTTTTTGAGATTGACACCCATCTTCATCCAATCATGCTTGAAATTGTTGGTCTTCATATTTTTCTGTTGATCTGGACATTTTTGTCTTTCACATTGAAATCATCACTTTTAAAGCATTTAAACCAGTGTTCATAACTATCTTGAGATGGAGCATGTTCACCATAAGCTTCCCG